ACTCAAAAAACCGCCGGGACCGGTGCGACCTAAAGTAATGGCGCGAAAATGTTCAATTCCGGACCGGCTCAACTGAGAATAAATTGCCGCGGCATGTGCGACTGAGAAAAGTACCATAAGTCTTTTCGTTCAGTCTTATCTTAAGTCGCAGCGTCAAGCTTTTCGTAAGTCGTGCGCTTAAGTTTTTTCTTTAGTCGCGCCGTCGGTCTTTTCTTAAGTCGCGCCCCTCAAGTCTTTTCTTAAGTCCCCCCCCCCCCCCCATCCCCCCCACCCCCATCCCACATAGGCATCAATTTTATGGTGTAACGAGTGGTTTTACAAATATGGCCTAATTAATCCGTATGCTAATTTTTTTAACAATCCGACAATGTGACCAGAAAAATTACTCTAGAAAATTGCAGGTGGGGGAAAAGAAAAAATAGCACAATTAAGATTCGTGTATCGTTTAAGTAAACTGATAAGAAAATTCGGCTCTTTTTCCTTCCCCCCCCCCCCACCTCACATAAGCATCGATTTTATGGTGTAACGCGTGGTTTTACAAGGTTAATTATGAAGACCAAATATGTTTGTCATATCCTAATCAGTCCGTATGCCAAATTTTGTAACAATCCGACAATTTGAACAGACAGAAAATTGACTCTAAAAGTTTTGCAGGTGGGGGGAAAAGGAAAAAGAGCCGAAAATTCAAAACCGAATACGCACGTAGTCTCGACCATTTTGTTTCTTTTCTAGTTGCCACGACGGCTCTTTCTCATTTATCCCCCCATCCTCACACGAGCTTCAACATATTAGTGTAGCGAGTGGTTTTACGAGGTTGAGTATGTAACCAAATATGTTTGTCGTGGCTTTATTAGTCCTTATTTTCATTACAATCGGACAATGTGGTCAACAAATTTACATGTAAAAATTTGCAGGAGGGGGGAAAAAGAGCCGCCACGACCCCCTCCTACCCCTTAGCTCATCCCTCCGTAAAATTACCGTATGCAGTAGTCGAAATAGTTCATATAACATTTTGCATATTAGAAAAATTAATCAAACCTTTGCTCTTCGTTAAACATTTTTGGCACAATCTATAACAGCATATGCCAATTTAAATACATTTTAGGATAATTTTGCTCAAAAGTTGGCAGAAGATGACAACGGTGATCGAGCAAATAGCTCTTATCAAAAAATACGACAAGTTTTGTACCTTTAATTTACAAATACGAAACGATCATTTCCTTTTCAATTGTAAAAAAATTTTCACGTGCATTTTGCCTCCTTTTGAGACAAAGGGTCAAATTCTGGGGTTTGAAGTTTCCAAAATTTTGCTGTGTTACGTTTCGCGGGACTAAATTAGGTGCGCTTTGAAAATTTTAATTATGAACCTGTAACGCAAAAAAAAGTGACAAATTACAATGCATCTAAAAATGTTCTAAAATGAATCGAGACAAGCTGATTGGTCACATAATTGCTCTAAAGTTTAAAGAATGCTTTGGTGTGGTTTTTTTGTAAGCGAAATTTCGACTTTTAACCAGCTCCTTTTGAAGGGCGTTTTTAAAACAATTTAACAGGCTTTGACGCCTTGAGCTCAAAATTACAAAAAATATATATTTTTTTCTCCTGTGGTCATTTTTTATAAAATTATCGCGGTTTGAAAAATTTCAATTTGGGACATTTACGCTCAATAATTTCATTGCGAGGCTAAACTGTGCACTGGATAGGCGCAAAATTTTGTGCCTGTATGTTCGTGGATTTCAGAGACAAGCCTTTAAACGGTGCTAGGGATTTTAGCAGACCGCTTTTTTAGCAGATTCAGAACAATTATAAAGTGTGATAGCTAACTTCAAACGCGGCATTGGCGATTAGCGATCGCTTGCTTCGCTGCGATTCAATTCAAAACGAGTGCTATTTTGGGCGTAAATCTTTGTTTTGCCGCTAATTTAGCCTGTTGAGTTTCTATAGTTGATAGTTTTGTTGACAAATTGTGAGATAATTGTCTTAATTGGGGAAGCTTGGCACCAGACTGAGCGTCTTTTTAAGTCTGTCAATCAATCATCCATCACTTTATTACGTTGGTCTGCTAAAACACTGATTTTTCACTTTTTATGCTAAAAGATTGGTCTGCTAATTGCCCCCTTTAAACATGGTAAAATTTTGTCGGAATGGGCGAAGGAAAGTAAAGAGCAAAAGAAGAACAAAAGAGCGTCCTTGTTGCGGAATTTGCTTACAATGCATAAACTGCAAAGTGTGGCCTCGTAATAATTTTATTATCACAGGAGGAGCAATTTAATTTGGCTCAGAAACTACTCCAACCTGATTTGAGGCAAGCTATATGATCTTTTTTATACGCTTCTATACGATGATTATATAAGTTTGTACTCTAATTTGTGCGCGGGGGCTATTTTTAAAAGAATATTTTCAATTTTGTTTAATTTCATGAATTTAAAGTTTTTTCAAAATGAGTAAGTCCCTGGACCTTTAAGGGCAGTCAAAATTTTCAGGCCATGCCATGCTACCAGCAGACTTACAGTTATATGACTCCATTGTACACCTTTAACTAATTTATATTACTTGTTTGGCAAAAATTACCCAATTCAAAATTTATAGTTATTCAAACAGCTCTGGGGGCAATTACAGGGCAGTCGGAACATTCATCAAATCGTCCCTGGCAGTCTGCTTGTTCCGACTTTAAAAAAAGCGATGAATAGGTATGTCAGTGATGTTTTTTGTTCAGACCAACTTAACAAAGAAATTTTGACAGCATGGAGATCGGTCCATGAATCTTTGGGTTCCCAAGCGAGTGTGCACGCACTAGCCTTATCGTGATTAAAAACATCACGCATAAATTACACGGAGGTGAAGTCGAGCTTAACAACACTATACACCAAGTACAGAAGAAAAACATCCTGACGACCAAGAAGTATCCAAGATGATTTCAAAAACTGTTACCTCCTGACAATCAAGGTAACTTTTTTTGTAACTTTGTACTCTAAATTGTGCGCGGGGGCTGTTTTTAAAAGAACATTTTGAGTTTTGTTTAATTTTTGAAATTATCTTGGATACTTCTCAAAGGTAACATTTTTTGAAATTATTTTGGATATTTTTTGGTCGTCAGGATGCTTACCTTTCTCAAAAGTAACATTTTTTGAAATCATCTTGGATACTTCTTGATCGTCAGAATGTTTACCTTTCTCAAAGGTAACATTTTTTGAAACCATCTTGGATACTTCTTGATTGTCAGGATGTTTTCCTTCTGTACTTGGTGTATAGTGGCGTTAAGCTCGGCTTCACTTCCGTGTAATTTATGCGAGGTGTTTTTAACCGCGATAAGGCTAGTGCGAGCACATTCGCTTGGGAACCCAAAGATTCCAAGATCGATCTCCATGCTTTCAAAATTTCTTTGTTAAGTTGGTCTGATGAAAAACATCACTGACATACCTAACAGAGCTGTTTGAATAATTATAAATTTTGAATTGGGTAATTTTTGCCAAACAAGTAAAATAAATTAGTTAAAGGTGTACAATGGAGTCATATAACTATAAGTCTGCTGGTAGCATGGCATGGCCTGAAATTTTTGACCGCCCCTAAAGGTCCAGGGATTTATTCATTTTAAAAAGCGTCGAATTTGAAGCCGAGCTTAACACCACTATACACTAAGTACAGAAGGAAAACATCCTGACGATCAAGAAGTATCCAAAATGATTTCAAAAAATGTTACCTTTGAGAAAAAAACTGGATGAACGAATTTTGTGAAAGAATACTAAAAAAACACAACTTTGAAGCGTTTCACGTTTAAGTTCACGAAACAATTTTTAAAGAAGTTCTTGTGGGATGGATTTTGACTCGAAAAAGTGAAATAGATTCGTATCGATATCAAACATAATAACTGAAAATTTTCAGAAAAAGTGTTTGAGACATTTTCGCGAAGTATGACGGAAAAAATTTTGAATGTAATGCTCACATAGGATCAACGACTGCTAAATGCAATTTGTATGCGAAGTTGTATACAAAATTCTGAAACTTGACCGATATACCTTATAAAGAAAAACAAAAACTCGAAAATCATCAGCAAAAAATGATAATCAAAATTCTATATACATGAAAATTAAAGTTTTAGAAGAAGAGTTTGCCGGTAGTTACAATTGGTCAATAATTACATTTGAATGAAGGAGTTTAGCACGCGTCAGCAGCACAGCAGCAGCATAATTGATTTAGGTTATTTGTTAAACAGGTTGTTTGTTAACCAGAAAAATATCAATTTTGTCTCAAATTTGAGCCTTTACGATTTGATATTGGCAAACCCAAATTTTATAATTCATCAAAAATTTACTTACCAGAAAATAATTGAGACCAAGCAAGGGGCAGTCGGAACATTCAGCAATTTGCCCCGACATGAGAGCAGTCTTGTAAAGACTATATTATCGTTTTCGCTGTGAACTTTTGTTGAGTATCTCGTAGAGACAAGCAAAAACTTTAGAAATCACTTAGTAGCAAAATTAGTTTAAAAAACGTTGAGCGCAAAATCTTGCTTTTTTGTTACAAATAGAATGCGCAGCTTTGCATTATTCTAGCAAATAAACGGCAAATCTTACAAGAATCTTGCAAAATGAATGCAAATTTTGCAAGAATTTTTCAAAAAAGCAAGAATAATGTATGTTTCGCGGCAAGATATCTTGCAAAATATTTTGCATGGTTTGCATTCCGATAAGACATACATAGCGCGGAGCTTACAATTAAATCACTGTTCTGAAAAGCAGAAAAAAAAACGATCAATTATTCCTTTATGCTCGAACGACGACTGAAAAACCTTTGATATGGTATACTAATCCATCCAATATGGCGCTCATTTGTCAAAGTATCTGAAAACTTGATCGGAACAATGAAGCTGCTATCAAAAAAACAAAGCCGAAAGAAAGTATGGGGTTTTCTTCTGGATGTTGCTACTGTCCGTAAAAAAGTAAGCGGATTGCCTTTGGAAGGTTTTGCAGAAGAGCCATAAATTTAAATGAGCGGTAAAAGCCTTTCACATACTTTTTCTTGCGTAATTTCTATTGATTTACAAAATAACCATATAAACCTCACTAAGTTTTAACAGCATTTGTTTTCTGCACTGAAAACACAATCTTTTTCTGCACCCAATATCCAAATGTGAAATGAAGTAAGTGCTCCCACCATGATCATTTAAAATTTTCAACTAAAAAGTTTGCGCCTTTCTGGTTACTTCGGTCTTTTTCTTCATTTGAGGAGCATTTTGACCAACTGCAGAACCTCTTCTTTGCTGATTTTTCCATCTTCGTCCTTGTCGACTAAGGAGAGCAGTTCGGCTTTGTGATCAGCAATCAGAGAGTCTACCACTTCCTCGTCACCTCCTGTTGCCTTGTCTGAAACGGGCATTAACTATAAAATTAGAAAAGCAGAACAAAAACAAAAAAAACATGCAAAAAACATCACAACTAAAGCTGTCAAAATCAATCACTGTTTCGAGACAAATTTCTCAATGCGAATCAAGCAAGGAAAAAATATATATTTAAACCCAATTGATAAATTCTTAAACATTTTTGAAAGTTGACTTGAAAAAAATTTAAAAGTAAATATCGGCTTACTGAGCATGTCCTTTATGAGTGACTCCATCTCCTCCTCACTGATGAACCCAGTCTTGTCTGAGTCATACTGCTCGAACATCTGATCGACTTCCTCTTCACTCAATTGACTCTTCTGAATGAGTTTAATCAGCTCACTTTCGCCGACAGGAAGTGACGCCATCAGGTTTTTCAAGGTCACTTTGCCATCGGTTAGAGTGGATTGCAATTTGTCCATCATGGTCTGAAAACAGATTATATTAAAACCAATGTGGCTTAAGAGTATCGAACTCCAGAGATGTATGGCTATCAAAACTGAAAACCATTTTATGTTCCAGCTAAACAATGTGAATTAAAATTACCTGCAAAATTTGTGGCGAGAACATTTTTTTAACGTGGTTTTTTGGAATATTTTTATCGATATAGTTGTATTTCTGAAAAGTTAGTTTAGTATTCTTCAATCTTATGTTATAATTAATTGAATTATATTTAATTACACGACTAATCACATTAAATTAATTCAGACAGCAATTACCTGTGCGATACTTTTTGCAGTGTCTTCGTCCTTCTTTTCCGAAAACATCATCTCAGACAAATCGCCCACTAGTTTGTGAAACTCACTCTTGATTCCCTCCCCCTCCCCATCAGTGGTTTCCTCTCCTTCGCCTTTAGCGGAAGGTACTGCTACAGAACCTGTTTATGGGGAAATTAAACCTGATTTAACAGAAACAACGACAGCTTTTTTTTAAAACTTCAGAATTAAGAAATCAGTTAAAACAATTCGGCATTTTTTCAGAACCAAAGAATGCTCTTTTTTATCAAAGTTTAATCAAAATTTTTTAAAAGCGAAAAAATCTTAATTTATTATCTTGCAAGTTATATCAGGGGTAAAATCTTTCCTGTCTTCTCGGAATCGTAATTCTTCCACGCGCCGATGAGGTCGGAAAACCCAATTGTTTGAATCTCGCCGAACTGCGCCAAGAAGTGTTCGCTTTTGCTCTCGGTCTGCTCGGACTTCGAGGCATGTTCGCTCGTCTCCTCCTTAGTTGGAGGTACAGTCACAACCTCAGCGATTTCTTCACTCATTTTGATTTTGCTACAAACAATTTAAAATACTTGCTACAACAAAATTCAACAAAGTTTAATATAACAATCTTTCAATTTTTTCACGAATCGCAAAATTACTCTATTTTTAAAAGAACCGGGATAGCCGATTGCTGCGCAGTACAAAAAAATGAAAAAAGTTTGTTTATAAAAATTTCAAAATTAAGATTTTGACAAGAAAAAACAAAAATTTTTTCGTAATTTCACGTTGACCTGTTTTCTGGAAAAGGCCTCCGAATAGATAAAAAACACAAGAAAAAACTCTTGTTTTTTGAATTTCTTCAGAAACCAAATCTCGACCCATAGGGCTTTAATATAACCCAATAATTTAAAGTACCACAAGGTTTTTTTTAGGTAATCAAAATTGGCTGAAAAAAAAAAACGTTTTCTAAGCCAAAGTTCTTTGCAGTCACTTCAGCCGCGTGGTCGGAACAAAAATTAGTCAATCTTGATATCCTCAAAAACACTACAGATTTTGTAAATTTAGCCGGTCCTTTATTTAAAACAAACCTTTCAGAAATGTTTTTAATTTATTTTTGATGAAACTAACCCTGATATTTCTGAACAAATGGTCACAAAAACAAGTTTTGAACTTGATAGAAAACTTGTACGATGTAGTTTTGCAAATAATTTATTTGAAACTATTGAGTTTGAGGACTTATTGTATCTTTTTCAAAGTCAAAGTGTGCAGCATATGTTTGAAAAGCAGTGCCAAACAAATAAATTATTTGCAGACGATATTGCAAAACTTTCTATAGGCTTCGATCATAAAAAAAAGCTTTTTTCAATGCGAATTCATTTTTAAATTAAAATTGAAAAGAGGCTGTTTCAATGAGAACGATTGCCTAGGCCTGTCAGAAAATTTTATCGGAAAAAATATTTCCAGTAAGAATTAGTTAGCGGCCTTTTTAAAAGTTAAGTCTGAAAAACGGCTAAATACTCCACTAAGCAAAATTGTAATTAAAAATAGTAAGGAAAATTGTTCTAAGATGGAAAGAACAAACGCGACCTGGTCAGCGTTTCTCTTTTAGATCAAACTTGCATTTTTTCATCAAGCTTGTCCTCAGCTTAGGACAACAACCATGAATAATGCCGAGCCTCAATATATTCTCGGGGGAGGGGCGGATTTTCAAAAAGTTTTACAAAAGTTTTCAAAAGTGTTTTGTGTCGTTCAAATTGATCTCTTACAAATCACTATAAAGCCCCTATTTGGCCAAGTTTGTCCTCGCCAAAAAATCGTTTGTAGGTATTTTTGGTAAATTTTGACCATGAAATTGCGCGCTCCCCCCTCAAAGTTAGCAATGATTGTCTTTAAGGGCTAATTTGATTAAGTTTCAATTTCGCAGAGATCCAAAAAGTGAAAAACAATAACAGAAGACCCATCAAACTTTTACTGCGATAAAAAACAACCCGGATTGGGTCAGTCACATTATCAGATAGCTTATGAATCATGTCAATTTACGCAACACAGTTTTTTTTTCAACCCAGCAAGCTTCAACTTCTCTTTTAATCGTGTAATCTTGAATCTACGTGATTCCGTGATTGTGATTTCAGCTTTTTTTCCTTTCTCTCCCCACCAGCGAAATTTTACTAGTAAAATTTTGTTCACCTTATCGGATTGTTTCAAAAATTGGTATGCGGACTAATTAGGCAATGACAAACATATTTGAGCATCATACTTAACCTCGTAAAAGCCATCGTTACAACATTAAAACTAATGCATGAGTGAGGTGGAGGGGAGCCGTGATTTCAGTCCTCTCCGGCTCAAATACCTCACTTCCTAAAATAATCTTGACTGCGTCTGGCTAAACAGCTGTCCAATTGCTTGCCCGGGTTGAGTTCACATTGAAAATTAGCGATTAGAAAAATTGAAAAGAAACAGCGATCACCATTAGTGAATTATCGATGTTCATTGCCGCAAAAGCAAACTTTATTGATAAACTATCGCTAATTTGGCTTATTTTCAACGATGAAACAGCAATTAAACCCTTTCAAATTGAGCAAATATAGTGAAAATCTTGATTCCGATCTCGCAGCCATCAGCTTAGGAGACATGTATGCAACCTTTGCACCACGAATCCTCAAATACCCTCAAACTATAGGGTTTATCAACCCACACTCTTATTCAAAAGCTACTAGATCAAGTTAAAATGTCTTAAGTTTTAGAGCTGATTTTCTACGGAATCATTACGGAAATAGCTTTGAAATATCGTAGGTTTATCAATGCAAAACTCTGAATTATACACGAATCAGCGCTGAGAATAGCGATCACTGGGATACTACAGGAAAAGCAAAAATTAACGATGGGACTTCAACCCGGGTGCTATTGAGATGTTTCGCATACCAAAAAATCCTGAGACCTTACAGGTTTTGAGGACTCTGAGTTCGATGAGGGGAAAGACTAGCACTGATATCTCCCACACTCGATTATCCAAACAAAAACCTTGTTATTGATACTCTGGGTTCACGTTTTGAGTTCACATTGAAAATTAGATATGAAAAAAGAAAAAAAAACACCGATCGGCATTGATGAGTTATTGATGCTGATTGCCCCAGTAGCAAATTTTATCGATTGATAGGTTATCGCTAGTTTGGCTGATTTTCAGCGATTAAACAGCGATACAAAATCTATCAAAATGAGCAAAAGTTGTGAAAAACCGTGTTGCGATCCTGCTGCCATTAGCTTATTGGACTTGTATTGTACCTCCAAGCCACAAAACCTAAGATATTCATAACTTATGGGATTTATCATTTCACACTCTCATTTGAAAGCTACTAGAATTTCTTAAATTTTCGCGCTGCTTTTCTCCGAAATCATTACTGAAGTAGCTCTGAAATATCGGAGCTTTAGCTTTGCAATAAACTCTGAATTATACATGAACCAGCGCTGGAAATAGCTATCACTGAGATACTACAGAAAAAGCGATAATTAACGGTGGAACTTCAGCCCGGGTTATCCTACTCCTCTATGTAGTCTCTTTAGGTATGATTTACTCTAATGTTTGAAAAAAAACTGTTTTTTAATCGTGTTTCTAAGACTGCGAGACACATGAAGTCAAAGAGATTGCCCATTCATACTTTGCTTAAATACGATTGCTCCACAAGTGAAGAGACCGTTCAGTTCTTCAGGGAGAACCACGATCTTGTTTCCCTGGTGATCCGGGCTGAGTAATATGTTGCCTCGATATCAAAAAAACGAGCATGGATCATGGTGGGCCTCGCATTTCCGACCTTCCGATTGAGATGCGGAAAGTGACTTTTTCATCACCGCTCTCAGGTAAAAACTGAAAGAAATCAGTAGCTTCGTAGTAATTGAGCAGCCTTTTCTGGCTACATCTGTTCCGCAAGGCAGCCTTGGAAGCCTTAAATTTAGAGCTATATATAAAGTTTTGCACGTTAATTATGTCCGTGGAAATGAGGAAGTCACGTTAGGTGTTTACTTATCCCGGATTGTAGATGACCGCTCTCCAGTACCTAATTCGTTTCTTTTTTTTTGGCTACTGTTTGACTGGGCCAATTGAATAAGCTACTGCTTGAGCTATGTTTAAACATATAATTGACAATTTGTTAACTTTTTTGAAGAATTTTTCAACTAAGTTTTTGTTTTGAAGAAAACTCATTCCAGCTCATGGATTTTAATCGATTATAATGGATTCCTGAGACAAAAATAATCCTTTATAATGCATTGCGTATGTAAAATTGAGACCACGAAATTGAGACCCAAATGGCAGTTTTAAAGCAGCATTTGAACAAGAAAAATCACTGGGATAATTTTTTTTTTAATTTTGAGCTCAAAATTTCAATAATTCAAGAACATATCAAAATTTTGTATCTGAAAGGATTTTAAGAGAATTGAAATACATTTAATGAATAAAAGACCCTTGTGCAATACTATTTCATGTTTTCCAGCAAAAAGTTCAGCGAACATTACTTTCAGCAAAGGATGCGGTGAAATTTTTTCAAAGCTAAGAAGTCTGGTGTACTCGAGCATAAAATTTTTTTAAAAAAAACATCGCAACAAAGATGTGGCAAAGAGCAATTTTAAGTTCTCACCACCATTGGCGCAATTTATGCAATTTTTATCGGAGATCGGGATTTCCTGGTAATTCTTAGGCCATCAAAACTGTTGTAAAACCACATTTTTCAATGCGAATTACTCATATTTATTGCGTGTAATCTGCTAAAGGCAGGCCGGGATCACCAATGGTCAATCAAAATACACACAGCCACCATTCTCAACAGTTTTGTTGACAATTGATTTGAAACAATTCCACTGTTGGGTAATTTCTGGCCATTTAATTCGGAACTTTTTTTTTATTTTGGTTGATTTTCAGTTGTATTTGGGGAAGTATTATCTGGTATGTTGTCAACAGTAAAGTTCATTGTTAATTGTGGTGGGTTTTTTTGCCGTGTCAGAAATTAAAATAACTGAATGCGCCATTTTCTTTCGTTCAATAAAAATACATTTTTTGATCGATCTTCTGTTCTAGCGAGAGAACTTTGACAAACACTCAGATTTGATACTTCATAAATTCTCCGCAACTGCTCAACTATTTCGCGTTTTTCCGATTTCAATTTTTTGGTTGATTTGCCACGATACTTCCGTCAATCACACTGCAGCAACCAATTTCACAAAACATATCGTCTTGAAGGAATAGAGTTCACTGACTAATTTTGTCATTTTCTGCTTGAACTTGTCATAACCTATGAGGATGCTGGCATGATCGATTGATGCGATTCCAAAAATTTCAAAATCGACAAAAATTGGTGTTGGCTTCTTCGTTGGGTGGCTTGCTACCACAAAGATAGTTTTTGTAAGAAAATTACTCTGCCAAATGAAATGCTATACAAAAATTCAAATTTACACTTATTTTGCCTGAGAATTTGGCTTACGAAATAAATTAAAAATAATGTGCGAAGAATAACAAAAAGCGATCCAGCTAATACAAATCGAATCTACCACCTATTGTAATATATCACCTTTCAAGCAAATGATCTACGCAAACCTAAATTTTTGGTACGAGCTGGACTGATATCAGTTTGCCCTTAATTTGTATTGTTTTTATTGGTTTGATAGAAAATGTGACTCTAGAAACTTTTGATATACGTACTCTGCAGTTGATATCTGGAAACTTGTTAATTAGGTTTTTTTTCCTGTTAAGCGCTCTCGGATTTGGGGATTCAATGTTCGTCCAAATTGCTTTCAGTTGGATACTGTTTTGTAGTGTTGCTGTTTGCTCTTCGATCTGTTTTAGAATCTTCCGTGCATGTTAGCTTGTTTGGCTTCTTCCCAGTTCAAATTTTTTGGTGAACTATTTGGTGCTAAGTTAGAAAGGGGTGTGTTTAGTTTTTGACCCATGTGGGCCTCAAACAGTGATATTTTTGTTACTCCGTGTGGCATGATGCGGAGTTTTGTTTTAATAATTTCTGCAAACTCCGAGGTTTATTTAAGCGGCGTTTTATTTTTGTCTATTCTCATGACCCCTAGTCTGCGTTTAAGTTTTTGTATTAATCTTCCCACTAATCCTATGCAACCTCCATGGAACCTCCGAGTTTTATTTAAGCGGTGTGTTATTTTTGTCTATTCTCATGACCCCTAATCTTCTACGTTTAAGTTTTTGTATTAATCTTTCCACTACTCCTATTGATCTATGATCGTCTACAGGCGCGAAAATTAAGTTTATGTTGTTTGACTTGCAAAAGAATTGACTTTTTAAATCTCGAAATGTTTGTGCTTGGTCGCATCTGAATTTGCATGGTACCCCATGTTTTGAAATGTAGCGTTGCATTATTTTTATTGCGATGTCTGTCGTTGCGTTAGATACTACTTTAACCGTAGAAAGTTTTGACCATTTATCATTAGAAACAAAGATGTACGCATCTTTATTTAATTCCTCTGTTGGGAGGGCTTCTGTAAAATCTAGTTGTACCTCTTCATTAGGTTCAACTACCCTAAAGAACAATTTGGATTGAGTGTTGTTTTCCCATAACCGGTTTTAATTTCTAACCTTGCAGCCCCCCATTATCATTTTGTGGCTTGCCTCTAGTTGAGTTTGCTCTTGTTGTTAGGCTTTTCTGGAGTTGGATGCCACAGTCGGTGGTTCCTCATTTGATTGTGTCCCCTTTTGCCAGTCTTGTATGGTACTCGCGACTCACACAATATTCGTTTGTCTTGTGTACCTCATTGATAATTCTTTTTGAGTGTTTAATTCTGTATTGGTTGCATCGGTTTTTGTCGTAGATTGTGTTTTTGTTTCTTCTGTTTGTGATGCGCACTCCTTTCCATAGTTTTTCTTCTGAGTGTCCATTTCGTTTTTTTTTAGTCGGATCTGTCTGTCTTGATGTAATTTTGCTGAATATTTTTTTGAAAATGTTTTTTTTTTCTCAGACGATCATGTTATTGCTTCTCTTGCGTCCTTGATTATTGCCTGTGTCGATGTGGTCTGCGTTTTTACAATGGTTTTTAGTTCATGCGTTGTTGTTGTCGTCTTCCCCAGAAGCCATTGTGGATATGACAAGCTTTCCTCGCTGTCCGATTCTGCTCGCCATTTTTCAGTTTTGTTTTCTCTTCTGCTCCGTTTGTTACTCTTTCCGCTTTCTGGTTTAAATCCACCCTCGACTCCTTTGTAGTTGTTTCGTCGCCTCATTTTTTTTGTTTTTCTTCCGCGTGTAATTGATTTGGGTTACATTGACAAATTTTGAGTTTCTGTTTAGTTTGTTTATGTCCGACTGATTGCTTTTTGATAGACTGAATGCTGTTAAACTGATCTCCTTTAGTTACAACTATTATAGCGTTTAGATATGCATAAATATTTTGCAATTCTTCTGCGCTAGATAAATGACTTTCTGAAACTCCGCTGGCAAATCCAAAAATTCCGTAGAGTCCTTTTTGAAATTGATAAGTTCCCGTGGGATTGCCTCCAATTAGGCTAAAATACATTGTTTTCGAGTGTTGAGTGTAGTGCTTGTTGTTTCAGGCCGATTTGTCTTGTTTATGCTTTGTTGTCTATTAATAATTGTTCAGTTCTTGTCGTCTGATACTTATTCTTGTGAATAAATTTTTTCTTCTTTCCTCTATGCTCAACATCTGGTAAATTTTTGGTTTATCTTGAACCAGTTATAACAATCTTCGGTAGTAGATTTTTTCCGATAGTTTTTCGATAGTTTTTGCTTTTTGATAGTCGACTGTGATAACATGGGGCTGATTGAATGGTCCATCCCACGGATTCTACTTCAATGATCACTTTTCACTTGAGAATAATAAGTTAACCGCCGTTGCATGCCAAAATTCGTGCCGCATCTTCAGGAAGATAAATTTGAATATAGTCGAAATGCTTTTTTTGAAAACGTTGAGCAGTTGTTCATGAAAAAACAACATCGGGCATCTCGAATCGGCAAAAGCAAATTAAGTTACTGATTTCGCTTTCAGTTTGACAATGTGTCCGTTTAAAATGTCGTCTGTCATTTTTTCCGAATCTTTTTTTAAAAAGCTTCGGATATTGCCATTAATTAGAAACTATCTCACGGGAACTCTTCAACTCTTTATTGGATGTGAAGTCGGCGAATGCTACTGAGTCATTTCCTTCTACCTCGTTGATGTGATCTTCTTCTTCTGGTTATTCTTCATTTCTTTCTTGTAGATTTTTAACATTTGCAAGCCTGCACACTTTTGTGAAGTGTACCCGTTTTGCGCACTTCGCTAAATTTGTCTCTTGCCGAGCATGTTTGTAGATGGTTTGAGCCACATTGATTGCCGCATTTGTAACATTACTTTTTTAGTGTTGTTGGAGGCCTCGAGATTAAATGTAGATCGTTGGTTTCTGTTTAATTGTAGTTGACGTTGATGGTCTGAATGGATTTACTTTTCATGGTTTCACTTTGTTAGACGCCTTTTTCTCAACAACTTGCATATTCGTACGCATTGTGTGGTAATTACGTTTCTGCCAACAGTTCCTCTGGTATCTTTTCCTGGTGCAGGTGTGCGGTAATTCTGTCTCGTACGCGCTCTTCATCTCTATCCCCGCAAACTGCTCGTGAGGCGAGTTCAACCAGATATGCTTAAAACTGCTCTAGCTATTCATTTTTTCTCTGTTGACGACAAATGAAATGTCGTCATGCGAGTCTTCTAGTACTCGCATTAGATTTTTTGATGTCGTAGCTTGGATGTATAATCCCGGTTAGTTCTGCTGTGCCTGTCTTTGGCCCTCAGTGCCTAAGAATAAAAATAAAAAGCGTCTTACTTTCGCGTCGGCCTCGTCCCTTGCGAATGAATTGCATAGAAGCCTTTTTCTCAATTTTTTTGGCATTTGTTTTCCCATTCGACTCTCTTTTCCTGATTTTTCACGTCTCGGTTTTTATTTTGAGCTTCAGTTTCTCCGAGGATTTCCACAACATAAATTGGCTGTCTTGTTCCACTAATTCTGGTTTGTCCTGTAATAAGTTGCGGACCTCTATTCCGTCTTTTGCGAACACTGTCATTTCTATGATGGCCGCCCATATAGACCTCTTTAGTGGCGGTTCTGCCAAAGTTCCTTCCCAAAACGGGTTGATACTGAGTGGTTTTTTTAATAAAACTTGCTGGCTGCGCCATGTCATACCGTATGGTATGATATATCAATAGTACCGAATCCGAACGGATTGGTAAACTATAATCATTAAATTCGAAACTCGAAAAAGAGCATCTTGTTCGTAAACGTTTTTTCAACGTCGGAAAGTAAGGATTGTTATAATAGCATTAACCGTACAAATTCAACAACCTAACCTTAATCAATCAAACCAGTGAAGTTATTCAGATACGGCGTTTGGCAATCCGTACCGGATGACAAAAATGTTCGAGATATTTTAGACTACTCTCTTTTGTTGGAATTTGAATGACATTTGATCTTTGTATCATTTGAGTAGTCATCAAGCTAAAGATCCAAATATTGCCTAAATGCTGAAAAAATTTCTTTTCCCGTCTTGACGAAACCAGTGGGACAGATTTCCGTGTGGCTCAAAAAATAATACGAAGTCTTCCTTAATATTTGCTTCTTTTCTTGGAAAGCTGCATCTTTTGTAAGCCCAAAACTACATCAGTTGAGTTGAACGACAGTCTGATTATTCAAGGCTTCCCTTGATACGATAAGTGTTGTTCCTATTAAGCTTTTATTTTTAAGATATCCAATCTCCGAACTAGCAGAAAAATTTATACAACAGATTTTGAGGTTAAGAGATTTTGATTTTAGGACATTTTGATTTGAATGTTACTCTGTCGATGTTTGTTATCGATACGCTCCTGTCTTTTTTAACATTGTAACACCACCCTCCGGTCATAAAAACACCATCAAATGACATAGCCACCGGACCAAAACTGCAAACTGCAGGTGACAATTCAGATTCGACGATGCCATTTTTCAACAAAACGCACAGTATTTACATGCTCAATTATTAATACGCTCGGCCAATCTGACACGTGGTTTTTTACAGAGAGTAAGCGAGAAAAGAATCGGCTATTTTTTGTATATTTTTGAACAAAACAAATAAATACAAAAAACGCATCAAGTTTGCGCAGTTCAGATTTACAGTCACAGCGTGTTATGGACAATTGCTTCGACTAGTTTGTCCAAAAAATAATCAAAACAAAGACGGCTAATATAGAATATTACGTTTATTTCATCCATAGTTTAAACATCCATATATAACATCTGTCTTAAAATAAATCCATAAAACCCGTTACTTGTTACAGTTTATATCCCCTTTTATGATAGTTTTGCCATTTTTCGTAAATAAATCATTGTCAAAAAAGAATGACAGTCGGAGGCACCAAAGAAGGCATGTTTCCGCATCATTTGAATTTATTGAACAAAACGCGCCTTCAGGAAATTTTATCAGAGGTTGAAAATCATAAGAAACGTCTCAGTTCATTAGAAGAATCACAAAAAGAGCCTGAAATTCCAAATTTAGAAGAAATTGCGAAAGATATTGGAGCAGAAAATTTGGAGAACATTCTAGATCACATTGGTGAAAAATCAAGCGAAGAGCCAGAAGAAAAAGAAGAACAAATTCCACCGTCTCAAATTTTTTCAGCAACTGAAGCAAAATTGAAAGAATTCAAGGATTGTTACGTCGAGGAAATCGATGCTTGGAAAGCTATTAACGAAGAGATTTCCGGGAAAATAGAAAATTTGGAAGGATTATGTCAAAAACAGGCCGAGATAATTGAGGCTACTCAATCTAGTCTAAATTCTGAACAGATTAAGAGACACAAGAGCGAACACCTGTTGAAAATAATCCTCAAGCATAATCCCGCATTGACTCAGATACATATCGAAAACACTGTTCAAAACAAAGAAATCACTACAAACGAAAGAGCTGAAAATGATCTGAATGCTGAAGCTAAAAACGACGAAGTGCTTACAAGAAACGAAAAAGCAACGAATGGATACCAAGGTGAAATATCTGCTTTGAAGGTCAAAATTAAACAGCTCACTGGCCAACTCGAAACTGAACAAGATAAAATCACAAAGCTCCAGGAAATAATCACCGAATATCATCAAGAAAAAGCGAAAGAAGAGAAACAGCGAGAAACACTTTTGGAGCAAAGAAGCCAAAACGCGCCAAGGTCTATCGCGTCCAGGCATTCATCAGCAGCTTTGATCAAAACTCTGGGCGAATCACAGGACTTTTTCGAAGAAATGTTCAACGAGCCCAAATTTCTGACGCTCTCCAGTCAGATGTTGTTAGGCAACGGGTTTGTTTCGAGCTCCACAGGTAATGTAAGAATCGACAATGTTCATCAAAATGGCGGTTTCATCGTGCTTAGAAACGGAAGTTTCGACCAGAATGAAGAAATCGGTTTTTTTATTCTGCAGCAGAAACTGAACGGAAAGGTCATCGCGTCATTTCGGTTCCCTCAGAGAGCAAAACTGAAGGCAGGTTCAAAGATCAATATCTGGGCATCTTCAGCTCCTGAAGGGAGAAATTGTCCTCCGTCTGACTATATATGGAAGGACCAATACAAATGCGTGTATGGACTAGAATGCATAACAGTGCTCTGTAAGCCGAACGGTCAGGCAGTCGCGTGGTACTGCGGTCAGCATCACTATGATGGGAATCTCCCAGAATTGAACGACCTGGAAATGCTGAGACGCCAGAGTCGGTTGATTCCGATGGTCGAAACTCAAATCGGCGAGTCGCAGAGGAAACTGCGGGAGTTCGTTCGTCGCGAGAAGACTGAACCGAGGCTCGCGACGAGTTATGACGTCAGGAAGCATCCACACGGGTTGCACTTTCACGTTCCTTCGCACCCGAGTAGTGACCAATTCCGAGAGAAAGTTCTCGGTAACGACCAGACGAGCTTGATGCGACATATTCGGTTGTCCCGTACTCCAGATACGGTTCCGGAATTATATACAGGAGGAGCAAGGACAGGAGTTAAGGCACTCTACAGGGCCTGGGAGGGAACTCCAACTTTGGTTCCTATGAAGAGCAGCGCCGGAATGATCCGGAAAATTAGCTCTGCTCAAATCGCGCAATGAAAATACACTAAAACTGCACAAAAATCAAATTTCTTATCTTCTAAACTCTGGCTCTAAACAACTCTTTCGCTTTATATAGTCTATATTTTTTATTAGAAATTACTAAACTATTTCTTTAGAAGTATATTACATCGATTGATGTGGTTCTTGCCATTATGGCTAATTTTCGAACATGAAATGAAAACATAACAAATTCTTTTCCAGTACCCTCGCCCCCAATTTTCATTTACAGATGAACAAATTTTCACAAAATTTCTTTCCAGCAAAACGCCGTGTGAACAATTTTTCAACAGTTTCATTTTGAAGTTTTACGAGGGGGTGGGAAACTTGAAAAGAGCCAAAATTCTAAATCGAAGTAGGCTGTTGACTCGAAATGAATTTTTTGACCCAAACTAAAAACTGACCCGAAATAAAAACTCGATATAAGTTCTCAAATAAGTACAATTTTTTTCATTGTTTCGACCATTTGAAAAATGAAAAGGAACTTTGTATTCGGGTGTGCTTTAGTTTTTTTTATTCTTTTTGTTTTCCACGCAAAACCAGCTACCACAAATAATCATCGTACTGAGTTGTGTGAATTATAATATTGATGCCCTTTCAATCGTGATTCGAACCACATTAAAAAATTCCAAAACTTTTTTTTTCTAGTGTCAAGAAAAACCAGTTTAAAATTTTTGATTTTTCGTCTGAATTCGAGCGAATAAAGCAAGCGAGCAGGTTTACAACAGGTGAGATCTGCCTAACTTAAGACCTTAAAACTTAACTTTAAGCGAGTAAAACTAGTTTTTGGAGTTTTTAAACATCATTTTGGGAACCGAAAACTTCAAAAATTCTCATCAAAAAATTTTGAAAAAAAAATTTTGAACCAATTTGCCTATATTACTGTGACTGTCTAATATGCCTAATCTTTGTTTTTACGTCAGATCATTTTATCACAGCAACCAAAAAACTACACTAAATTGAATAAAAAAAACTTTCTGAGCCGTTGTTTTCTAAAGACATTGGTCGGAATATTCTGAGCAACTTGCAGACTAACCGGCTATCCTTGTTTGTTTTCTGCTTTTTGTTTTCCACGCAAAATCAGGTACCACAGATAATCATTGGACTGGGTTGTGTGATATATCATATTAAAGCTCTTTTAGACGTGACTTAAACCACATATAAAAAATTCCAAAAAACTTTCCCAGTGTCGAGAAAAACCGGTTTGAAATTTTTGATTTTTCGTCTTAAGTCGAGCATTATGCCTAAAGCTGCATTATGCCTAATTTAAGACCTTTAAACTTTATTTTGTGCAAAATTAGGCTTTTGTTTTTACTTTTCAGAAAAATTTTTGTCAACAAACATACATATATACATACATAAAAACAAATAAACATAAAAATCGAACATACATGAAAACAAATATAGATAAAAATTGATGTTAAAAAAATTTCGTTGTCTTCATTTCTAAAAAGAACAAATGATTATAATGATTTGCAACGAATGTTATTTCTTTCTTAAAAAATAGCTGTATAATTAATTTTTGGTTGATCAAAATCGATTATGTTTCGCTTTTGAAGACACTGACAAAAAATTCAAAAGTAATTGATTCCTATCTATCGAATTACCCGGGATGGTATGCTAGTAGTCAGAAAATGAATAATTCAGTCGAAAAAAAATAAAATAAAAAACTCGGTCTAAGTAAAAAAAATTATCGAGTAAGCAAAATACCAGCGTTAAATTAGCACTGTAACAAACTTTACAAATCAGCAACTACACCGAAAAAAATTGGATAAACGTCCACTGAGCCAAAAAAAAATCCGATATAAATCGAAAAAACGTCCGGTGAGCCGAATAAACGTCCGTGGAGCCGATAAACGTCCGTAGAGACCAGAGCCCTGGTGATTAGGTCAGCAGCGAAGTATCAAAAAAGTAACAAATCATAAAGTTTAGAAAAAGTAACTTTTGAGAGATTGATTATAGCAGAGATGCCCTAAAATGCTCCATTTTGGACAAAACTGATAATCGAAAAAGCCTTGTACACAATTACAAAACAAGAAACAAGTGCAACATTGTTTTAGTAAGCAAGTATAGTTTAATCGTAACATAAACAAGTCGCAATTATATCGCAACTGTAGCAAGGATAATCAACTGCTGCGCAAATATCACAGAATCTTCTGACTACGATATGTTGTGCAAAGAAGTGTTTAAAAAGGATTTTTTTTTTCAAAATAATTTTTTAAAACACCCTGTCAATTTTTTTTAGTAAAGTTCGACTAAATTACGTAGAAACTGCAGAATTAAAGGTAATTATAAATAAAAAATATGACTGTGAAAATCACACTTTTGATTCCTGCGAGCTTAGCACAGAGAAATAGCCGGTTTCTCCATTGATAACATTTTATTGAAAATCGATAAGATAGATCTCAAAAAATGAAATTTGTGCAAAGTGCAAAAAAATCCATATGCGCCGAAATACAAATTACATACAATTTCGTTTTATCTGCCTTCCATCAAACAAAAGCTAGCTATCAATTAGTCATGAACAAATATACATCGCTATGTTTCAACAGTTAACTATATATAATAAATCAAAAATTCCACCGAATAATGAGCACCTTTTTTTGCGACTTGGTTTGGAAAAAATGAGGATACCGTAATACGTAATATAACACTACGCTCCGTATGTGTAAAAATTAAAATTTCTACGACTCAGCCATGCTGGAGCAGTCAAAAGTTAAAAAAGTAGCCTTTGAAACTACGCATTCTAAGTAAGTGCAGTAATTTTCATGTGCAAAATTTGTAAGGAAATTTGTTCATGGGGAATTAAGACTGATCCCCATTACAAGTCCCTTGCTCTCGGAAAAGAAGCTAAGAAAAAAGAAACTAAGTCTTCAAAAATGATCATTTGCTTTGTGCGAGAAACTAACCTATGCCTCAGGGTTTAAAAGTCTCACATCCTTTTATTCGAGCCGCGATCTCTTGAAAACAAAATAAAACTAACCACCACTAAAGAATCTTACATGCTACTAAATTGCCTATTTCTTGAAATATATCTGAAACGCTACATCTAAGAAATAACCTTATTTGCTATTTAACTTTAGGAAAGTTGCTTTCTAGTTGCGCTGGCTTGGTTTGCCCAATTAAAGTACAAATATGTACTGACATTTTTCACAGAAATAGGCTGCATAAATTTGGAATAAAAGATGCGTATTATAACATAAGCTTTGCTTAGGTAAAAATAAGTGCAGCTGAATTAAACATCTTTTTGAAAAAAAAAAAATCAAGAACAAAAATCTTTTTTAATGCTTCAGGTTTCGGAAGAACAATTTTTTTTCACTTTTGCTTGCCCGTCGCAACCTGGGTTGACATCAATTGCTTAGGATATAAATTCACTATTTGGGAAAAAGCATTTCACACATGACTTGTAGACTAGCATTTTCTCGTTGTATGAAAGTAATCGACTAGCATTTCTTTGTTTCTTAAAAGAGTGTGACTAGCAATTTCTCGTTTTTTGAAAGTTTACGAACAGAGATTGAGATTGGGTGAAAATGTTTCTTTTCGTACTGAGTTTGGTTTTATTTTTTTTTGTGTTAATCCTGACATACAATTAATCGAAAAGTCGATAAAAACTACAAATTTAAGTGGCAAAGATCTCAAAGATAAATTTAATTTTACATATTAAATATTAGAAAAATTGAAATTATTTGTGCAAAGCTAAAAGCTTCTTTAATAAATTTTTTTTCAACGGTTGTAAACTGCTGATTATTTCATAACAGACTTTAGGCTTATCTAAAAATTGAGACAGTATATTGATTAGATTTTCAAAAAAAAAGTAAATATTTTATTAATTTTTTCGGATGTCTGATAGTTAACAGAAATATTTTTCCGGCTAAAAAAAGGTAATTTTTTCTAGTTTTTTGTTTGTAAAAAAACTGCTTGTCATTAAATATTTACAGTTTGAGTTTGTATGACTGGCAGTTTTTTTAATTATATTTTTTTTCTGGAGTTTGCAGTCTTCAAAAAGAGTTAAAACCGCTCTTTAAAACCGCTACATAGTTCGTATTAATTACGATCAACTTCATTTTAAAAAAATTTTGTAGTAGAAAACGCTATTTTTTAAAAAAAAAAACGCAGAACGTTCATGGTATGAAAGTTATGACTAGCATGTTCAGAAATTCAGCATGTGGAATTGTATGACTAGCATTTTACATGTACGGAAGTGAATCCGGTTGAATAACAAGAACCCATATGATATAAAAGATGGAAAAAAAACACAATCTTCAAAAAATGTTTATTTATGTAGATTTTAAAATTAATATCTCTTTTGTGTAACTGAACCCTTCGTGTAATTTTAATGAACCCTATTATTCCGCTAGATATTTTGAAATCTAAATCTCCTTTAGAACTACAAGTCATACTTTGTTTTGTGGCCATTCGCAATTTTGTTGTAGAGCCTACTGTAACCTATCATTGAGAAGAAAAAAAATTGCAAATCGAATTTCTACCTAAGGTCAAACCATCAAAACAGAAAATAAAAGTTTACAATTCTTTTCCGAAAGAAAAACATCAGTTAAAACCGCACGAACTAAACCTTTGAAAATCAATCAGTGAAAGGATTATTCAATGGGTAAAAAAATCTTATTTCTAAAAAAATAGCAGTTTTGTTTTTATGAAAAACTATGCATTGCAAAGAAAAATAGAAACACTTAAGTCTCTTCGCAAATGAAAAACAAGTATGATAGACAATTTTTCGATATAATTTCAATTTGAGAAAGCTGAACTTATAGCTGCTTATTCAAATCCACTGAAATCGAAAATCAAAATCCAAGTTTTTTCATAATCATTATTTTTGCTGCTCGACAGTTGAGTTTGCCTACCTTTGAATAGACAGAACGCACAGAACTGAAGAAACCAAATGTCAAAACGCAAAAAATCGAATTGGAATATGAACTAACTTTTGAGACTGAATCATAAGCGTTCCGCAAAATTAGGCAAATGGCTACAATAACAATACTTTCAATGAAAGGAGAGAGGAATCATGTTTTTAAAATAACATGTGGAGTGAATTGAAAAGAAATCATAAGTCAAACCGCTTAAATACAACACAAAGTGTTAATCACTTCTAAGACATTTCTATTAAAATGAATCCAAAAAAATTTTACACGACCTATCTAAGTCCATTCATTTCTTTCATTGACTCTCAGAAACGAGCAAATACAACTTTCAAAATTGTTTTCTTGAAAAAAGCACTATCTGAACTAATGAAAAATTTGAGCATCTTAGGCACTTTATGGGTTTTTTTCTGAGTCTTACCAGTGCATAAATGAAGAAAATAAAACAAGCATACCAAGTGAGACTTGTGAACGAATTTCGCAAGCTGGTTTCTTTCGTTTTGCTGGTTTCGGAAACGTGGTTTTTATAGCGAATACTACATTTATCTGACTCTCGGTTAAGGAGAACGGTTACGAATTTCTATTCATCATGTAAATGAGATAATAGTACAGAGCCAGATCGATAACTAATGATCAGAAAAATGACAGCAGCATAACCCTGTATTAGTTAAAAGAAAATTTAATAAAAAACAATTAAAGTTAGTTAAGAATATTATAAGATACAGGAAATGAATCTACAAAGCAGCTCGAGTATTAAGTATTTACAGCTCTCTCAAATGATGTTCAAATACGGCCCCTGATAAAATTTCAGTGCATTACAGTTTTAGGAAAAATTTCTACTGTGCATGGATTCATGAAAACAAACATCTACGTCTAGTCTAAACTTACGAAGACTAACTGCTACAACTAAACCGATGTTATATTTAAACTACTGTTGAGCACAGGTTCAGCACAAAACTCAGTGAGTGGTAATTCAGGCTCCAAAATTGATATAATGCATTGCGTTGTGATTGAATATTGTTGGTTGAGCTAGGCAAACAACTGTAAACCGTAAAACTCTAGTTTTTTTTGCACTAATTGTGAAGTTTGATCAAGTTAATTTATGCCTGTTTTTGTTTTCAAATTAAACATGAATTAAATATGAGCGAATAAGCTCGCCTACGTGACAAAGCTTTAAATAGGTTTTAAACTTAGACAAGGTTGTTTGTACTTGTAGCTCAAAAATTTCATTCTTTATCTAAAGGAGAAAGGACAAACTAACTTGATCTTTAAATTCCTATTTGTTTCACATAGTTTCATTAGTTCGATCACTTTTGACAATCATTCAACTTCAGTCTTCCTTAGTCTTCGTACAATGCCTTCATGTCCAACAGAGCCTGTCTGATTCTTCCTCGGAACCTATGCGAATCTGTGTTCAGACTACTGTTTCTTGATGACACGTGGAACCAGAAAATGTCTTCCCCTGCTACGATATACGACACTCCGTACCCGTCAAAGGAGACAGGCCCGAACCCTCCCCCCGGACTCCTGAACATCGGTTCTTTTTCTAAACTGACCAGGTTCATTTGCACCTGAGGGGTCTGAGAAGTCGAGAGCCTCCAGGGTTCGTAGATGACCTTCTGCAAGAAGTCGTGATCCTTCTTGAGATACTTGGACACCACATACAGACAAAACAAATGTCGATCTACTCCTTTTCCCGCCATGGCGTCTCTATACAGCTTAGAATGGTAATCGCAACTCTTCCAAATCATGTCTCTCAGTTCCTGCTTTGACTTAGATCCACTTTCGATAGCCAAGACGAAATTGCAGGTGTCTTGAGTGCATGATCTTACTGTTTCTGTTCTGCCTTCCCTGTATAACCTTGTCATTGAGGCTTCGTACGTCAAGTGGAACTTTCCGATATCTCTATAGTAAGCTAGCTGAAGAGCCAGTTGAATATAACCATCTGGACTGCACTTACACTTCTTCACGAATCCCTTTCCATAGTCACCGAACATCATGAGTTTGATGTCTGTGTCGGCTATTAGTGTCTGAGCATCTGCTACAGCTAAGTCAATGTCTTTCAGACACGCTTCCGAGAAGTCCCATTGGAGTTTGACAGCAGACAGTTTCTTGTCTGATGGTTCCCCTTTGCAGCTTCCGTCCTCTTCGTACCCTAAAACATAACTCACACTTTTAAAAAATACTACTGTCTGCCAATTTCAAGCTCGTATTCAGGCCTGTGAGCATTGATAAATTATTCTTAAAATCACTGTTATAACTTAGACTCATACTTAACAGTCATCACCGGATCCAACCATTGTTATTGAAGTACAATGAATTGAGTTCCTATCCTGTCAAATGCGAGCTAAAAGTCGATTTGACAAAAAAAAAGATGTGTTATAGTCACTAGCGAAGGTGAGGCGGCAATTCGAAACTTGACCAAAAAAGCATGAACTACTTTGACAGAGGTGCCAATAATGAGTCCCCGTGATAAGCTCACAGTTATTACGTCGGTCCCTTTCCTTGTGGATAAACCATCATATCTTATCTTAGTACAAATATTCACTACAATTTTGAGAAGTTTAGGATGATTCAGTGTTACTAACCAAACACCCTGTAGTCCTGGTAGAAAGCGTACTCGAATGCTTGACAACACACCGGTGCATCTGCCCAGGAGTGCTCGGCGTTGACACAAGTGCGTCCATTCTTAAACACTGTGACCGACAAGGTCTTATCGAACCATTTGTTGTATCCGTTGCCATGCAGAGCCTCGGCTGCATATCGGTCGCCTGAAATCGACACAATAACTTGTAGACAAAAAACCTTTTAGAAATTGTAAAAATAGTCATGAAAAGGTGAAATAAAAAAACTCAGCAAAAGTTGAATTGAAAAAAGGCTATTTGACACCAGATAAAACATTTAATAACATGATTCTACGCGCTTTTTCGCGCGATTTGCGCTTTCTTAATTCAAGAGCGCAATTTGCCTATCTTTCAGCAAATGAACTTGAATTGAACTCAAAAAGTCCATATATATCTAAGTTCATCCATAACTGTTTTAACATGTATGATGCAGTTCTGTAGTTATTAGAGCATTTACAGTCTTTTCCGTGAAAAACAAATCATCAAGATTTATATGAAAGAAAATCACTTCATTCTTTTACAATTAACAACCTATTCCATTATTCCTTCCTATTCTTTGAGAGAGGTTGGAAGAAACTATTGTACGCTTTATTTGGTACCTCATTTAAATACCTTTCTGGCTTTCCTGTAAAGCTTTAAAAAATTAAGCTTACTCTCAAATTGTTTTGATTTGTAAGAAAGAATGTATTTTAACGTCTGTAAAATACCAAATTTATTTCAAACACCCTGCACCTTCTTTGTTCCAAGACTGTACAACATACTTTCGCCAGCCATATTTTTAAGGGCCAGTGAGCGGATTCAAAACCTAATCTTTCCATTGAATTAATTTGAGCATCAAATCAAAATGTTAAGAACTTCGGTTGCACTATTTGCGGGTCAGAAAAGTCTAATCCTAAAGCTGCATTTGAATATGTTTGACATCAAATACAAAATTTTATCGCGGTTGACATCAAATACCAACATTTATCTATCTAATCTTTATCGCCGTACTGACTACAAAGCAAATTGGCCCCTTGGATAATTATACTTCAAAACCTAGCTACTCTTTTAGACTTTAATCTCTTACCTTCGGACTCGTCTTCAGGGTTGAAGTTCGCCTCTTTGTCCTCCAGAATGAGCACAAATGCCGCACTCTCAATTATGTTCAGTGACTTCCTGTTTGTAGGATTGCTCAGAAAGTAAGATTCCCGACATCTAAAAAATACGAAAATTATAATAAAACTAAAACAGAGGCGAAGCTGCAAGAGGATATACTCAGAAATAACACTTAAACGTTATGAACCCTAGTCATTGTAGCATGAAAAGCGTTAGAAAACAAAAGCACGAAAAAACAAACATTTTTATTTCCAAGTTTTCAATTTCATGAAACAAATTGAAGCTCTTTCAATTTCAGACAGAGATGATACTGCACGCAAACAGGTGCAAAAAGAAACTCAATTGAAGGAAGAAAATGCAATTTCAGGAAATTCGAAAGCAAATTATGACAGCTTTGAAGCCTATGAGATTTCAACCACGAACCTCAAGACCAAGATTCAGCTGCCTTAAACACTACTGCTAGGATAAAACTACTTTCACACACTAACTATTTCTATTAATGCGTTTATTATCCATTTTCCCCCCATTGTGGCGGGGTTGGACTTTCACACAGTCCCACATTTTTTGATGAACGGGCGCTCTAATAAGGTTAATATAGTTAAGGCTATTTGATATCGCCAAATATATAATCTACCAAAATTGAACACAAAAAGTTGCGACTTTGATTCAAAAAAGAGTCAACTTATTCTATAACACAAAGTTGCATGAGTAAAAAAAACAAACTCAACGTATTTCATACAAAGAAGTAAAGAAGAGCTTCGCATCACTTCCAATACAACTCAAGGATAGTTTTGCAAGTTAGCGAATAAAACTGAGACGGAAACCAGTAACAAAAGAATACAAGACTGCTCGTATCAGGGCGAAGCCTTGAATGTTCCGACCGCCATTTAATGTTTATGGAGCAGTAATAGCAAAAAATTAATTGAGTTGCAACAAAATGAAAATTTTTTTTCTCTAAAATTTGATTTTTTTTAATGAAAATCATCCCCCCACACGCCATATTAAGTACAAAAGGATAGATTTCGCTCCTTGTAACAAATCAATTATGGCAAATAAGCTTCTTTCAACCAATTTGGAACGATTTCTAAGACGGATTTAGCACTAATAATATAAAAAAAATTAAATGAATTAAAACAAAATGAAATTTTTTTTCTCCAAAATTTGAATTTTTTTTTGAAAATCATCCCCCACACGCCATATTAAGTACAAAAGGATAGATTTCGATCCTTTTAACAAATCAATTATGGCAAATAAGCTTCTTTCAACCAATTTGGAACGATTTCTAAGACGGATTTAGCACTAATAATATAAAAAAAATTAAATGAATTAAAACAAAATGAAATTTTTTTTCTCCAAAATTTGAATTTTTTTTTGAAAATCATCCCCCACACGCCATATTAAGTACAAAAGGATAGATTTCGATCCTTTTAACAAATCAATTATGGTAAATAAGCATCTTGTAACCAATTTGGAACGATTTCTAAGACGGATTAACTCTCCGCTTACGCGTTAATAGCGCGAAATATATCGCGCGTTAATTGTCCCAAATTGGCCAAAATGGCAATCTTTAAACCCCCGTAACTTTACAAAAAATGATCACAGGTAAAATATCTTTTCAAATTTAAGCTCAGGACAACAATACCTTTCGAATGATATAAAAAAAAATCCGTCAAAAATGGCTAGTTAAAAAGTCGAAATTTGTCTGATGAAAAAAAAAAAACCCACTCCGAGCACAAATATTCCGTTACTTTCGTATCGAAAGTCGGAACAATAATTACAAAAAACGTTGAAAACGATAGTGATGTTTGAAAGAAATAGCTTTTTCCGGTTCTTTTGATGAATTAAAAATGTGTCAACTGTGTTAATTTATTATCAAAGCTCATGCTATCAAAAAGCTGTAAAGGTGCCCCACAATTATTGGGTTGTCGCACCAATATTTGCGACTTAGGTTGGAAAAAAATGGTTCGTAATAATACACACTAGCTTCGCAAGAGTAAATAAGTCAAAATCATTTTTAGCAAAAACAAAACGAAACTTGGTTTGTTACAATTACAAAATCACAAAATGACATTCAATTAAAAACAAGAGTTACTTAAACCAGAAGAAACCCATGGTCTGAAAATTAATACGACAAAAATAAGCAGACGAACTAAAAACGTAGTCAACAGACAGTTGGAAACGTGTCAATGAACGCGAGGAAACGGTAACTAGAAATATAAAATATTTGACCTTCAGCCGCTTTGGATTCCACGAACAATTTACGATCAACGTTTTCTTGATAAATTGGCCCAATTTGAGAAAACTGGATCAGTAGATAAATTTACAATTCCTGTGAAAAAAAACTTGAAAATTAATATCTACTTTCAAACGTAGTGGTTTACGTTTTCTCCACCATTTCCGCTTTCGTAATTGGACAAAGGAACTTGCCTTTTAGCACAAGTATTTGAATTGAACTTAATAAACATCGAAAGTCAAACCGCAAAGGTTCAAATTTGGTGTAAACTATCTTAAATGATTTGTGTGCGATATCAGCTGTTCAGTGTTGGGCCACAATTTTGTTGGAAAGCAACAGCCAAAACTATTGATCTCACCTTGCCCATTCGTCTCTCTTCCAGGAAGTGAATGCCGCACATTTCTCTTCCCCGGGCAGGGGTTCCATGGGGGAGTCCAGAATCTGTTGGAACAACCGCTCCAGATCCTTCGGAGGCACAGTTTCAAAGCCCATGTAGATTGGAATTTGGAACCAGCGCCCTCTGAAATGACCGCCGATTCATAGCAAAGCGTTGATGGCTAGTGTGAAATGACTAATCAGCACAATGCCAAACATTCCATCAGTTTCAGTCTCAAGTGAAAAGCAAAGAAAAATACATACGTACCTTCCGTTTATCACTTTGAAAAAAAAAACTCATCGGATTTGCACGGAAAAAAACTATTTTCTTTAAAAAATTAAACCGGCATTAGACTAAAAAAACTTAATCAATCAATCAATCACGTAGTTGACAAAAACAACAAGTTGAGCTATACCTTTCTAACAACAATTTCAAGCTTCAAATATTCAACAATATCAAATCAAAGTGCCAAAAAATCAACCGAAACAAAATGGCACCTCATACAACATTGCATTCAAGGGCCAATCTTATGAAGGAAAACATTTTGATTACTCACCTGTGGTAAACGGCAAGATGCTCCGATCTGTGGTACTTTTTCAACGTGTCAAATTCCTTTCCAGGAACCCTCGTGGTATTAAAAGCCCTCTCGTATTGAGAACTACAAAGAGGTCGCAGACCTAGAGCCATTAATGGCTTCATAGTCTGATGGTCAATTATCCTGCGGAACTTGAGTAGACCTGCTGTCATATTCGCAGCACGAGACGCTTGGGTGATCTTAGTTGTCACAAACACGCAATCTAGTCCGTAGTAGTTACTATTGATCATAATTGGTGTTCTGCCGTACAGGTAGACATAGGTTTCCCACCAATCCGTTACGTAATTTGGCACGAACAAGTGCTTCGCCCACAGATACCACTGAAGTCTCCATCCTAAATTCTTCTCAAAATCTTTGGACGCCTCTTCTGTTTTCTTATATTCCTCTTCGCTTAAGAAGGGTCTCACGGAGTCTAAATGTCTCTTGAGTGTTTTCTTCAACGGAGGCAGTGGCAGTTTAGGCAACACGTGCTGATAGACAAATGTTGTGGGATTCACTATGGCCAGGCATCGCATGGACAACGCCCATATGCGAGTCTTGATTGACACTTTCTTGGGTTTGTCATACATGAATCCGTTGTATCTAGAACATTCATTCACAAATTAGATGATAGTCAATTATTTTTTAAGCGGTCTGAAGATAGTAAAACTGGTTAAAAGATAGTGAATATTTTTATGAAAACATTTGCAATTTTTTGTTAACTTTTCTAAATAATCATGTTTTTTTTTCGACGGGATGGGAATTGGATTACGAGGTTAATTTTCAGTTTTGCTACCTTTTGAACAATTTAAATCCGGTCATTTATAAGATAACAGAGATAGCCGGTCACTGGGCAAGTAGCACAGAATGTTCCGATCACAGTCTTGAAAAAACTGCAAAAAAGTTTTTTTTTTCAAATTAGTGTAGTTTATTCTGTGCGATGTGATAAAAGGATCTGACGTAAAACTATATTTAGGCATATTGGACAATCCGAGTAATATAGGCAAATTGGACAAAAGTTTTGGCAGAAAAAAGTACAAAAACAAAAAAAAAATTGAAATTTTTTGCCAAAATGTTTGCTATTTTTTTTGAATATTTCGATTCCCAACATGGTGCTTACAACTCCAATAACTATTTTTCTTTGCTGAAAATTACGTTTTCAGGGCTTGAATCAAGCATAAATAAGCGATTCTAAGCCTGTTCGCTCGCTTCATTCGCTCGAAATTGAAATAAGAATCAAAAACTTTGAACTACTTTTTCTCGATACTGAGAATTTTTTTCACGACTGAAAGAGCGTCAATTTGGTATGTCATTCGACCCATTCAAATGATTATTTGTGGCACCTGATTTAGCGTGGAAAACAAAAGAGAAAAATCTAATAACCCGAATACAAAGTTCCTCCCATTTTTCAAAGACTCACCCAACAAAAAATTCTAGGCCAAATTTTGGCAGCAAAAGTTTTGTCGTTTGTTTGATTTTAACCCACGCTTTGTTTTTGCTTTGATTGACTAACTGCCTCTATTTTCATTTCTTTCAATCGTTTTTCCTTGTTATTTTATTATGGTATCCTCTCTAGTGGGCGATTTTGGAACGAGGTATCTTTTGGACTGGTATCTCATTGGCAGGGACTTTCTCGCATGGGATCTTAAGGTAAGGGATAGTTTGTCATGTAACCTCTCCATTTGGGTTGACATTGGCCAAAGAGTGAAGAAAATGCTGGACTATTGCCAAATTTTTATGCTGCAATTTGAATTGATAAATTCAGATTCAAAATTTGGCCCGAGAACAGGTTTTTCAGCGGCTTGCTTTGTATGCTCAAAAATTACTCAAAATCTTTCGCATGCTTAACGTCAAAATAATGGACCATTTGCTTAGCTAAAAAAGGTAAGATAATTAAACGTCTCTTAAAAGATTAAAGTATGTTTCGGCATCTGATAGCAGAATAAGACACTACTACTTCAAATGTCGACTTCAAATGTTCTTACTACTTCAAATGTCGACTTTTTAAGTAATTTTAAAAAGTATTCATAGATTTCCAGACAAGATCTTTCATAAACTTTATTGATCCAAAAAATAAGCACATTTAGATATATATAATTTTTAAATTGACCCAGCTGTCCTGAAAAGTTAACACAATATCTAAGAAAGCAGTTAAAAGACCCGCAACTAAATCGCCCGCCAATGAAATTGGACTGAAAAGTTGAACACAAATTTGAACGAGCTACATTAGAAATTATACTCGAGTTATAAGACCAGCGTTTGCTAGAGCAAATCTTGATCGAATCGCGACTGAAAGGGCTTCAAAGCATGATATCACTCAAACTTGCAGTAGGGCCTAACTTTGTTGTACCCATTTTTTCTGTGAAAAAAAAAAACCTGGAAACAAATTTCCTCCCTACTTCGTGTCGGTGCAATAACCAAATCCCAGTTAAACCTTCACTGACCTAAGGGTTAGTTTGAGCATCTTCTTGATTCCCATTGCACATCCTATGTATATGACACTGGAAGTTAGCATGACTCTGTAGGCTGCTGGAAGGGCGCTGAGTTTCTCATTCACCATAGAGCGCAGACTGACTGTCCAGTCGAACTTGCCAAAGTGGAAGAGGACTAAGGAGGATGGAACTGCCACTACAGTCAGTCTAGTAGTCGGCAACCAATTCTTCAATCTGAAACAGAAAATTTTCAGCGCTAAAAATTTGATCGCATTTAAGAATTAGTGAAAAGAAAAAGAAACAAAATAGCATTCAAATTATCGCTTTCATTTTTTTCATGGCTCTGAGGTACTTTTTCTGGGTTTCGCTGTGTGACATGAACTGAACTAACAATTCGAATACCACCACCTTAAGTGAATTTATCCAATTTCTTCAAAAAATATTAAACAAGCCCTTCGAGTTTTAACCTAAATTCTCGCTACAATGCTTCAAAAAAAGCCGAACCCCTCTTAACTGACCTGTTGGCGGTGTCGTAAGCCCAGCGTCTCCACCCTCTACATATGGCGAGTCCAATGGCAGCCACTGCATCATTGTCTATATGGTATCTCAGTCCATCGTCCCCCACCTCGAAGCGGAAGGCCACGGCCGCATTCGCTTCTGCCATCTATACTAACTCAAACTATACTACCTGAAATGCACAACACGAGATAAATATACTGTCGCAAAGTAAATTTAATATTACTTACAACGGTTGTCCTTATGGGTGGAAACAGAATAATCACAAGCAAAACTGGTACTCAAAAGAGCTATAGCAAACTTTTGACTAGGTTTACACATACGAATGTGCCTGTCTTGAAAATATGTTCGTTAGTAATAAAAAAATTGAACTATATTGCCTGAGTTTGTAGAATATTAAAGCACCTCAGCACAGCATGATAACGTAAATAACATTATGATTTGAAAGTACTTGAAAAATGGTTTGATATGTAATGATGTATAAAAAAATAATTTACCATCTTTTCTACTACAGCATTTAAATTCAAAAGATTACAGAACACATGTTGAACCGAAACTAAAAAAAAGTATGAAGCTTTTCCCAGTTGTTAAGACTAATCAGTCAAATCATTTCGCATGACTTTTTGTCACTCTTTAGTTTGCTGAAATTCGTTCTGCTTGTATGCTTTTCTCAGAATCCTATATTTCAACTTGTCTGACTCTGGTTCAATGAACCAGCTAGCCAGTGCTGCCAAAATCAGCAGAAGATGTTCCATACAAAAGACAAGACCCACAACGTAACGTCCACTGCCTAGGGAAATCCAATGATCGTTATCGTGAAAGTCATAAAACTGTGGGAACCAAACTTGAAGTTGTTCAGATGAAAAGCCAATTAGCATAACATTTGTTACGATCGCGGAAATAGTCATGAAGTGCATTAGGTGCATCCATACTCCAATGTTAGCAGCTCTTCGCGACGGAGGTCTTCGGTTTACAAACATTAGTTTGAAACAATCCGATTTGGTTTCTATGAAAATGAACACGACAGAAATTATTGAGCACAGAGGCATTGAAGACGCAAACAATGTAATGTAGCCAAACTGAATCACCATTTCAAGGTAATCATCAAAAGCCTCGTACTCGTCTTCTTGCAACTCTCTCACTATTTGCCAGTTCGTTTCACTTTCTTTGTCTTCTTTTTTAGCTTCTTTGTATTTCTTTTCCGCATTTCGCCGTTTGTTCCAGCTCATGGCTAAGGGAACAATGACTTCGAGAGCAAGTCTTCGCAACTCATCGCCCCAAAACAACCCCACTAATTCACTTCTCAGAGAATTTATATCTAGCCGGTAGAAAGCGATATAGAAGAGTGGCAAGTAACAGTCGAAAGCCTCGAACAGAAACCGTTTGATGACCAGAGAGTTGTTCCATTCGGCTACGGTTTTGTGGTTCTCAAAATCAGTGCACCATACTGCAATGCTACGATAGATAGTGTTCAGAATCAATATGATGACAGAGTGAAGCAAGGTCGGTACCATCCAACCGTAGTACGGATTATCCTGTGCAAAAATAGCACCGGGTTCTGCATACTGGCAGAGCGATTTAACATAGATAATACTGTGATGATCTTTAATGTATCCATTCAAATTGAGCGATAAAAGCATAGCTTTAACTGCTAGTAGCAACATTGGGGTAGCCGCCAGGAAACTTACACAGTATCTAAGGAATTTCTTCCATTGTGGATAATACAATTCTGGTAAATCAGTTACGGGACTGTTTCGGATTTCTCCAAAAAACTCTGGCCTTGTTTCAGCAACGCGCTCAAAATCATTGGTATCCCATTTAAACGCCCATGACGCTTGCCTCCGGCGCCAGAAAATGAGAAAAAGAACAGCCCACAAGACGACTACAACGGCGAAGACTGGAAGAAACTTGGCGTGGTCAATGTCAACGCCTTTCGGTCTGATCATGTAGAGAAACAGACCAACCAAACCAGGCACTAGCAAAGTGATATTAAAGAAATTCATCCACGCAAAATAGAAAGCCACTTCCTCTCCAAAATAATCTCTAACATCTGCAATCGGTACACGGATTGGATTGGCTCGAATTTTCTTCCACAGGGAATTTTTGGCTTCCAAGTCATGCAAAGGAAAATACTCCTCGACAATACAAGGCGCAGCATGCTTCAACGCTGTAAGCAATTTGACGTTTTCAACATTTGTAAGTCGTTTCGGCAAAGCTATACCAAGCGCAGGAAGAGCTTTGATGGGAACTGATATTTCTTCAACAATTAATCTCAACAGCAAGCACTTTTGTGCACTTGAAAACATCAAGTTCTGAGTTTTTTCGAGATAAAAGCCGTCTTCAGCCAGATCTTTTTTAAAAGGCATAGGTAATAATTCAGATCCATACTTTGCAGCTATTTCCAGGCCAATTTCCTCGGCTTTATGCGACAGAACGTCATAGTTAGCCGATGCGATGACAACTTTATCGTCATCAGTTTCATCCAGCGATGCATATACGCCAAGCTCCGATAGCTTTTTAATGAAAAACTGAATTTGTGTTTCAGATGACTTCTCAGTGAGCACAAATACATATTTTGTGTCCTCTGCCATATCAAAAAAAGGTTTCTGTGATCATATTATCTTGAATCAGGTACAACTGAAGCACCACATTGATCAGTATGTTTTTTGATCAATAAGAAGAAGTTTTTGCTGGGTTACTTGTCTATTAAAACTAAATTTAAGAAAATGATTTCCGGTTGCTGTGCAAGTAGCACAGAAAATTTCGTCCACTACCTTAATAATGGGGACCGACCTTTTACGAGAAAAGTTATAACATGGACCTTTTACCAGACTCTATCAACAACTTTGATTGACAGATGTATTGACGCCGTTTAGTCTGGTTAAAGACAATGTTTTCACGGTTTCTCAGCGAAGTCTTGTTTGTTCTAACCGCTTCCTTTTCGAATAGTCAACTAATTTAAATTTATCTTAATTGAATTATTGCATTGTGGTCTGGTAAAAGGTCGGTCTGGTAAAAGACCTAGCACCCTTGATTGTATCGCCCGTTGAATAATTTCGGATTTTTCAGATCAGTTGAATCTAGACGTTCTTGTAATTATCTTATAGACAGGAACCTTAACTTTCAAAAATGATCAAGACTTGATTATATGAAGAACTGACCTAAAAGTCACGCATCAAGTCATGGTTGAATGAAGTAATCACATTTCTCATATCTCCAGAAGAAATGTGCTCCATGAGGCAAAAACGTTAAGGGCTTGGACTCTATTGTTTGCTCATCCTGCCTGATTTACTTTACGTTTTCTTTTGTGCTATTATATGACAAAAAAGACCAAATGTACTTGGAACGGTTTCAAAATTTCCATAAATTTATTTAACTGTTTCAGCTAATTGAGATGAAAGTCCTGTCTGGTCAAGCTGTCCTTTGCTAAAGCTTCTCAGTAGCCGGCTGTATGTTTAATTTTTTATTTTCTATTGTTTAAAAGGAATAAAGTAAATTTATAGAAATAAGCACTTTACAAAAGTAAATCACTGAGAGAGTGCCTTCAAAATACAGCCAGCATTTCCCCGCTGAATTGCAAGATCCAGTCTCTGTTTAAGATGTTTAAGAGCGAGTTTCTCACTTGTCGCTTCCTTGATCTTACCAGCTAAGTCTTTGATGAATTCAATCGATGTTCTCCCAATCCCGCCTAACGTTTCTATGGCTATGGTTTCAAAAGTTACAGTTGAAGAGAGATCCGAGTAATGATACCTTTTTCGCGCTTCGGCTTCAGTAGCAGCGCTTGAGCCAGGAATGATGCCCTGATGCAAATTCGAGTAAGCCAGTCTGCTGATGCATGTGAAACCCCACACTAAAACAGGTCCTCCAGACCAAGGCGTCAGAGTCAGCCCATCAGGTCTTCGACCGTCTTTAAGTAATGAACCTACCGGTTCGAAAGATGAGAAGCCTGCGGTTTTAAGTGCTTCCTGCATAACAACGTTGCAATTAGTTTGTCTTCTGAAACGGTGTTTGTTCTTTGGACACATTAGTGCATGTTTTCAGTAAGTGGATGACACAAAGCCAGATTTGCACGTGAATTGTGCAGAGACAGGGGCTCCAATGCGTAATCCAGCTCCAACTCGTTGTCAGAAAGTGTGAAACCGAGATTTCGCGATGGTATGACATCAAGCCACTCACCGGATCCTTGTGCTCGTGGATCAAAGAATCTGGCAATATCAGTGTGGTTGTTGGCCATGTCAATAAGTTTTTTGAATTGGCGCTCAAAAATAGGTTTCAATCAGTGTCTCTATTTGTTGCTAATGTCCATGTTGCAGAACTTCTTCTGGCTCAACAGGTTTCAGTGTCCGAAAAAAACGTGTCACGTGAAATGTTGCCGGGTAAGATAGAATTCTTCATGGTAGCGGTGCCAATGTATGAGGACTTGAATGCCGACGAGGTCAGAACATTAACACAGCGGAGTCCCCTGGAACTTGTGGGAAGTGTTACTTGCGAGAACGCTTGATCGGAGATAATGCAGTTGAACAGTTTCTCCACAGATGAGCGCACAGTTGAGTCAATTTCGCAGAGCACATCACCGTGGTTGAGCGCGGGGCTGAATCGGAGAACGTACATAAACTTTGGGATAAAAAAAAACCAATTCTTGAGGAGGAAAAAAGCTGTTTGTGCGTGAAATTTGTAGGTACGACTCGTCAGGGTTTTGAGCTTAACGAGCTTGTCTATGAACTCCTTGCGGACAGCTGACTGGCCTAAACCTGGGCCTAAAAGGGTAGTTTATTCTGCTGGACCGCTTTGAATGATAGTAAAGTGGACGGAATGGGCTCTCAATATCGTGTTTATTACTTCCAAGACCTGTGACTTCACATTTCTGTTCGTTCAGTGAAAGGCCTAGTTTTTCAGCTTCTTCGCTGAAACGAAGGAGATCTTCAAGTGCTACGCGCCAGGAGTCACCCAAGGATACATCAACAAGGTAACCAGTCTTGAGCTCGCTGTTCAGACCAATGAGTAACTGGTGTAGAATGAGACAGAATCCGAAAGTAGCCAGCGGATCCCTTGTTGGAAACCCTCAGCGGACTCGATGTTGAAATCACCGTAAATCAGGAAGCTATTTTCTTCGTAGCATAATTGACAAACGACAACTTTTCAAGCGCGAGCTCATTGAACGTCTCAAAAATAATAACCCTACGAACACTGTTGAACGCATTAGCAAAGCCCTAACACAGTATCGTCTTTGCTATCATTGACAAATTCTCTAGCAACATGTGCTGCAGCTTCGCAGCCGTTTTTGACTCCTGCGCCAAGTTGAATAGGTTGAAATATATTTCAAACTTTCTAAGCATGCAAATTGACATACAATTAGCAACTAGGCGACGTATGGTATCTTCAATTGCTATCGGCCTGATGCTACCACTCTTTTTGGAACGAGAAATGAGTTGCGCTGGCAAAAACTGGTTTGATGAAAGCTGGCAACTGACCTCTGAGTATGATGTTGGCAAAATCTGTGAGTGTGCACACATGTTATTTCTCACTTCATTAGCAGCTGAGGAAATGGCATTCTTGAGATGCTGTGGATGCAAACCAGAGGGCCCTCCAGCACTGCTAGTAGCAAAAGACAGAATGGACCTGCGAATTTCTTCTTGTCTAACTTGTAGCTGCAACGTGTTATTGGTCGGAGGAGCACGTCTGTTGTTAGCTGCGGAAATTGGTAATAATGAGTCATCACTGGCCGCTAGTATGACTCTATTTTAAACATCGCCTTCATCCAGTTTCTCACCAATGAGTCTAACCACTTATTTTTTCGCTGTTGGCTTTGATCCAAAATTGATCGGACGGCGATAATCACCATTGTTTGCTAAGATCTGCTGTGGCATGCCAGTTCAAGTGAAGAAGTCGCTAGTTTTCTAACAGACGATCTTGAACAGACACTGAAACAGCTACACACAGATGCAGTCGCCAAAGAGAGAGCCAAAAGCCAGCAGAACAGAGTCTTAAAAAGAGTCCCTCCTGAGATCTTGAAAGACGAAGAAGAACTTAGCCGTTACGACAGAAGAATTTTGTGTCAGCTTAGATCAGGTTTCTCATGGAAACTAGCCGAAACCAGACACCGATTACAACCGGACATTGAATCAGAGCTCTGCAGCAAATGCAACTCATGCATCGAAGACTGCCATCATCTGTTCAACTGCCCGGCCAACCCAATATCTGCTACCATCGAAGATTTGTGGAAAAATCCCCTACTAGTCGTAGAAGAACTCGCGGAGATATTCTCAGAGTAGTCCGCGGAGCAATAACAACAACAAGATCTGCTGTTGTACGACAGAGGAGAGCGAGGTGCGACTTTTTTTTGCCCGATCTTGTAGGCTTCCGGAGACAAACTAGCGGCAAAACGAGTTAACGTGTCCGGCGTTTAAGTCCATAGTTACTGTATATTAAATCCATGGTCGTAAAATAGACCGTACCAGGTTTTCGCTAATAGTTTGTCCTACAGTAGGCTTACCTGATCTTGTAGGCTTCCGGAGACAAACTAGCGGCAAAATGAAAAAACGTGTCCGGCGTTTAAGTCCATACTTACCGTATATCAAATCCATGGTCGTAAAATAGACCGTGCCCGGTTTTCGCTAATCGTTTGTCCATCTGTATCCATTATTTCTTCGTTATTCGGCATCTGGTACTTGTTTTTATGTACCTGTTTATTTAGTTCCCGCGATTCAAGCGCTAATTTTATCGACCCGTCCTTTTTGACTGTGAAAACTATTGGCGATGTGAAATGCTTACCCGAACACTCGTCGAGTTTACCGAGATGCCTTTGGCTCAATAACTTTTCAATTTTTTTAAACAACATCATTCTGGAGCGTGATCGGAACCCGTCTGCTTTTCTGTTGCACTGGCATAAATGCCTTGAAGAACTCAGCTTGTACTTATAATTGCGGATTCGCCCTACCCTTTTGAATACATCATTAAAATGCTTACTGAAGTCCAGTTGCCATTCCTCCAGTGGATTGTCCGGTTGCTCCGTTGATCCTTGAATGTTCATTACATCACCGGCGGCAGCCTGCACCACTTGAAGTCTCAACAGCGGCAATAATTCCTGCCTAACTTTTGATGGTCTGCATCCTCCAATTACATCGATATACGTCTCCGCTACCCACCCAATTGACCACCTTCATCACCCGTTAGCATCACCTTCGTCTTCCCCATGAACTTCAGCGGGTTGTTGCCGTTATCTCGAAAATGATCATCATTCGGCCCCAAAGATAGGAGCTGTACTTCGGCTTTCCCCAGCGTCTTCTTAAGTTCACCGATGGTAAAAATTGAAATGGGCGACACACTATCCATCTTCGCCGTCGTTATGTTCCCAATAATTTTTATCGGCAATCGTACTCCCGCTACTTTGAATTCGTGCTCCTCCTTATTTTTCCGGATCGACATAACCATGTAATTGTCGGAGCTGTCGGAATCCCATTCGTGGGATTGCTGTCGGTGATTTTTAACCCATCGAACCGAGTTGTTCTGTTGGGATTTTAGGTCTCCATGATCCGCGAATTGGTCCTCTAGCTCGGTATCACCATGAATAAGACCAACCCGTCCTTTGTCACCGCCACGCTTCCCTGGGTATGTCCGTTCGTAACATTCTGTTTTTCTGCAATAATTGGACGTGGCGTTCCGAGCTGCGCACTTTGAGCGGTGTTCAGTCATGAAGTTGGCTTGATCGCAGTTAAAGCACCCCCTATTGCACCACTGAAATGGCCTTTCGTGCACCACGAAACGATCCCCTCGTGCACCACTGAAACGGCCGTCAAAATCCCCCTTCGATTGAATTATTTGTTTTAGCTCTTATGTATAGAGCCCCTGCTGGAGCCGGTGTTAGTCCTCCTTTGGTAAATTTATAGCTTTTGGCGTACTTATCTCCTTTTTCGTACAACAGTGCGATCTCGTAAATCTAGTCGGGCGTTTTGTTGCCCTGCATAACTCTATTTTTGCTTTCTTGTTGGTCATGTTGACAAAAAAATTATACCTTAAGATCCGTCGTTCAAGCGTACTTTGACTGCATCTAGCCGCGAGTCCACTAAATACGAAGTGAAATTGCTCCAGGGATTCTTCCTTTATTTGCTTACTCGAAAACATTTAGTAGGTTTCAAATGTTTCGTTTCGTTCCTTCCTGGAAGATATCCTGGAACTCGTCTAGTATCCGAGAGTTTCTGGTTGTAGCCAAATCCAGAATCGGTTTCCTGTTATGGAGCTTGGGCCGCTTTCTCCAAGGCATAGATGCAAGTTTGAAATTAGCGTCCACTCCGCTTCTACGCAATTGGCGTCACCGTCGTCGTTTTCTCGAAATAGAAAGATGTCCGATAAAATTCAGGCTTCTCGACTGCACCCCACGTGAATTGGTTGATCCAATGTTCCTAGAGCATTGGAGGCTCAGCGCACTTGCTTGGCCAAAAGACCGTAATCCCCAACGGGTTTTTCCGTCCCCCAACTCTCACTGCTGGCTTCACCACGTGAAAAATTTTAATTCAGCAAAGTAAATCCAAGTGTTAGTAAATCAATCAATTGTATGTCGAAGAATTAAAGAGTCCACTATTTCAGCACCACTGGATTTGGACAATGCCGTTGGCAGGTAAATAAACAAAAAAAGTCTCCAGCTAGAACTCTGCGAACTCATTTTTTGGTTAAAGGGTCTTTACGTTTTTATTTGAATGGCTTCAGAAAATACATAGTAAAAGAAAACAAAACAGAAAAATATTAGATTAAACTTTTTTTGCTCTGTTTACCATACACATTCAAGTCCTTATGCTGTCTCTCATTTGAATGCAGTTCAAGTAGTTTGTAGTTCTAGTATGATAATTTTTATCAAATCAGCATACAAATCATACATTATTGAGGCCTCAACCCGTTTTTTTTTGACGTCAATTAATGTTATGGAGTAAGGGTTGATGATAACATTTTTTTGGAAAATGCGCGTTGCTTTACTTTTAGGCAAAAATTGTGACTCCGAAATGTGATGAAATCTTTTAAGTATCTTTGATGTTATTACTCCTTGCCATGTTTATTTTAATATCTGAAGAGAACCTTGATCAGCTTGCTGTGTTGTACAGTAGAGGTTGCAGGAGAGCCAAAAGAAAACTTCGGGCTTACTTAGGGGCTTTCATGTAATGAATGTTCAAAATTCGAACTTAAATATTTATGCTGTCTTTTCTCAACCCTTCTGCCGAAGAAGAAGAAGAATTATTTTATCGATGTTACTTATTTTTACTTTTAAATACATCAGTAACAAAAAGCGGACGGCTGACGAACCCATAAGCGTTGCCAAGTGCTGCCCTGAATTCGACTGAAATCAATTTAGATACAACAGATAAGGAAGCGTAGATACAGAAATAATCAAGCCTAAACACAGCAGCTGAAGAAAAAGGTTTTGAAATTTCCAAAAAAAGTACATAGAAAAGTATGTGGCACCATCTCATCAAATTGTGCATCTACTGAACAGAAGAGGCTAAGATTTGAAAAACGTTAGTTTTACTGTATCATAAAAAAAGGAGTTACAATTTATAAAAACACTTTTATGCCAAAAGACATGAAAACCTGCTACTCATAAGCACCTTTACCCTCGGTTTCATTACAAAACTAGAAATTGTTCAAATAGCGGTTACTGCTACTACTAACTGTGTCTCCTCCCCAAGAACCCCCGTATCATCAAAATTATTGACAAAAAAAGTACATAGAAAAGTATGTGGCACCATCTCAACAAATTGTGCATCTACTGAGCAGAAGAGGCTTAGATTTGAAAAACATTGGTTTAACTGTATCATAATAAAACGGAGTTACATTTTATAAAAACAATTTTTTTTGCTGAAAAACATGAAAACCTGCTACTCATAGGCACATTTACCCTCGGTTTCATTACAAAACTAGAAATTGTTCAAATAGCGGTTACTGCTACTGCTAACTGTGTATCCTCCCCTAGAACCCCCGTATCATCAAAATGTTTGAATGGGGGCTTGAGAGTCATTAGACACCTAACTGAGCTTATGCGGTAGTATCCAGTGAACATGTCCAAAAAAGGGCTTTCAAACGCCAGAAGTTACTTGAAAACCCACATCAAAATTGTAATAACTTTGGCAGCACAATTACGCGGAATTAAGAGGAACACCTTACTTTATACTCTGCCACATTGAAGTTGAGGTGCCAATTTCTTCAACTTGTTTCCCATGCTTCAAGTAGCTTATAAACCAGTTCAGACTATTTCAAATAACACCATACTTTTCTGATTTTCGAAACAAAGTATGGTGATCAGGGGTGTCGAAAGCTTTTTTTAAATCAAAAATACTGCTGTTTTGACCTATTGGCTAAAATTTCAGCGACATTTTTTAGTTACTTTGAGAATTGCAACAACAGTGCTGTGATTTTTGCGAAAACCAAATTATTTGATATAAATTAGAAAAATAAACATAAACTCCAAGTAATTAAATATTCTGTTGTAAATTTCTCGCTCAAACACCTTGCTTCACAATGCAGCTAGTGATATTGTTCTATAGTTACTGACATAAAATTTAGATTCATCCTTATACAAAGGAAAAACAACCGCCGGTGCAAGATATGATGGAAAACTTCCTGATTTCAAAGACAATTCGATCAGATGCTTCAAAACAGGAGCAACCGCCAAAGACCTTGTTCTGAGAACGAAGTTGTTTATTCCATCAATACCAGAAGGAACATCATTTTGCAGCTTAAAAAAATAGTTTGAGTTTCCATTTCCGAGACAGGAAAACTACGCATACAAAAACTCAGCGTGACAAAAAAATTGATCATATACAAGGTTTGGTATGTTACTGGCTAGAATTTTTCCAATTGTGGAAAAAAAATGTTTTAAACTCATTTGCAAAAGCCAATTCATCAGTGGATGAGTCGCAGCTATTTGACTTATTGAAAAAATTTGTTTTTTTTTGGAGGTATTTGTTTTTTTTACGTTCATTTAAAAGTATTGTTTTTGTATTGTATTTTTTTCTTTCATTTAAAAGCCTATAAATTTGTCTTGAGTCACAACTGCGTTTTTTGAGTTTATCATAATAATAGTTTCTCTTACACTTCTTAATTTCAATTTGAGTTTTACTTCGAGCAATTTCGAGGCTTAATCTTGTTCCTTATGCGCTTTTCTTTTTAGGCCAGGTTTTATAAAGTCTACTACGATTGGCAACTAATTTTTTATATGATTAGTCAACCATTGTCACTTAGTTTTCCGTTCTTTAGTTTGGATCTTATCAATTGAGCGTACTTATTTTGAATACTATGGTATTTCGACTGAAGTTCTTCAAAAAGATCATCAATCGATTTTGTTGTGTCCAATGTTTCGTAATTCTGTAATTCATTCACAAAAGCAATGTTATAGTCATGTATATACCATCGAGAATTTAAGAAAAAAGTATCAGGATACCTTTTGTCAGAGTCACGCTGATGTTTATGGTATACAACTCTAAGAAAGTTGGGTTATAATCAGAGAATGATTGATTTTCGAGCGTATAACATTTATATATTTTACTATCTTATGGTCTAACAGATAGGATAGGTTTTTTGTTTTCAGAACTTTAGTACTTAAATCACCGCATTTCATAGCTCGATGCTTTTTGTGGCTTATGTTTTCTTACACCTTTTTGAAGTCTTCTACAAAAGCATCTTTGGGAGGGTTGTAGACCAGCATTATCCAGAAAACGTTCTTACTAATTTAACAAAAACCGAAACACTTCAAGCCAATTCAGATGCAAACTCTTCAGTTATAGTTACGTCAACTTTCATTTACATCATGAATCCAGCCCCCATGCTTTTTCTAGGTTTATTAATTTTAGTGTTTTAATCTTTTAGCCGGTAGCTATTGTGATTATTACAGTCTTCCAACCATTTCTCGCTGTGGCAAATTTTATCAGGTGGTGACTCAAGGCTATGTATAAGTGCTTCCAACTCATCGGGGTGTTTTTGGTGTGACCGTAAAATTAAATGAAAAAATTCACGGTTTTGAATATGGTTGCTATTGTTTCACGAAACAGCTTTCACTGTCTTCTATCGTGTATTGAAGCTTCTTTCCTCCTTCGTGTATACCTCTTATGCAAAAGATGATGTTACCTTGTTTAAATTTGAAATAAATAATGCCCTCTCGTGTCCAAGTTGATTCAACTCGTGGGTCTTGTTTCATAAGATTAAGAGATCTTCAAAAATTTTTACGAACTTCATGGATTGGGACTGGCTTAGATTCGCTTTTTACTGAGAAGTTCTACTTTGGCGAGTCGACTAAAAAACTGAATTATCATCGGTCGTGATATCGTATTTCTGTTAGCTAATCTATGGGCAATAGGATAACTGTCGTCCCAATTTCAGCTCCAGCTTCTTTGACAAGGCTTTGGCTGTACTCTTCGAAGTTACTCCGGCCATTTTTCCTTCACAGCGTTTTTCCGCGATTCCAATAATTCGCGCATTATCTCGTCGATTGTACCCTTCCCTTCTAAAAGTTCGGCTGCTGATACCGCTTTTAAGTTTCATTTTCTAGCCTCCAGCTCATTTTTTTGTCTCCTTTAAAACTGATCACTTCACATCGTTCAGTCCTTGATTAACCAGGATTTGAAGATAGTTTTCAAAGTTACTTCCATTGTCGCAACGATCTTTGGGATTTGTCTCGAGAAGATTTTCAATACTGGATTGATAATGAGGATTGGTTCAGATATTGCCTTCAAATCAGGATTCAGTGCAGCATATACTCATTTGGAGTACAATTTTGGATTAGGTGTTCGATCTTGATATCTTAGTTGTGGAATATTGTTGCAATCATCTTGAATAGTTCTTTCCTCTCGTACATCAGTGATATGAGCAGTTTTTGTTTTTGGGTTACCCATTTTGCGTCTCTGAAACTATTTAATAAGTTTATCACAACAAACAAGCTAAAAGCTTATGTTTAAAAAAGCTTATGTCTTCTTCTCAAAAGAAGTGGTGAATACACCAGGTAAGTTCATGCTCGTAATTGTTGCATGTTTTTTTTCTAAATTTCTTTATCAAAGATTCAAAAAAAATGGTGATTCTGTGCAACAAAACAGCTAAATGATATGATGCCTTACCAATGAGCGTCCGTTGTTTTTGAATGAACAAAGTTACAGCAAGCAGTTACTAATTACCACAGATTTAAATCTGGCAGCCTGTGAATTTTTAAACAAATTCAACATCCTAAACCTTCTGTGTGCTGTATGCTATCCTTGTTACCCAAAATACTGAGGAACAACCGTTCGTTTCAGCGGGCAATTTTTATCCAGGCGTTGTCTGTTGCTACGCTCCTAGGAACGCCGTGGACTCGTATATTTTTATGGTTTAACCTTCACTTCAACAAGCTTGGTACCTAGTGGTTACAAAAAAGCTTCAAATTTTAGGGTGTTCTATTCAAACCACCAGACTCTCAAATTCAATGAAAAGCCCCCTCGCGCTCTCGCTGTGGCTTGAGCGGAACAGCGCTACAAACAAGCAGTTTTTTTTATTATTCTTTCTTCTAAGCTTTCTATATTGACATTTGATTTTTCAACCTTTTTATGTGGTTGCTGGCGCAGAGAGTAGCGGGTTTTATTTTTGGGTGGAAGGCTAGAAGTCAGATCCAGGTGGAGTTCAGACAAATTGAAGCGCAGACACCAAAAGCCAATAACACTGACCACCCTTCACGCCGTGACCAGTTCCACCGAAACAATGCAAAATTGCTTTAATGTCTAGACAACTATTGAAAGTGCTTAATTAGATACCTCACTCAATTCCATTTCATTACGAAACTAAGCTGCACACTAAACTGTATCATTTTTATTGTTGGAATCCAGAGATAAGTTTTTGAAAGTATTTCAAAATTTCTAGCGGATTCCTCAACATCTACTGTTTTAGGAACAATTTTGAGCGATAGAATGTTTTAGCTATTTGTTCATGAAATTCAAAACAGCTGAGAGTATCGTAGAAAACTTGCAATGTTGCAGATTCAGCGATAAATTTGTTTTTGTCTTGTCGAGAATCTGCATACAATTCACAAAACACACATTACTCCTTGCCTTGTTTATTTTAATATCTGAAGAGAACCTTGATCAACTTGCTGTGTTGTACAGTAGAGGTTACAGGAGAGCCAAAAGAAAACTTCGGGTTTGCTTAGGGGCTTTCATGTTATGAATGTTCAAAATTCGAACTTAAATATTTATGCTGTCTTTTCTCAACCCTTCTGCCGAAGAAGAAGAAGAAGAAGAATTATTTTATCGATGTTACTTATTTTTACTTTTAAATACATCAGTAACAAAAAGCGGACGGCTGACGAACCCATAAGCGTTGCCAAGTGCTGCCCTGAATTCGACTGAAATCAGTTTAGATACAACAGATAAGGAAGCGTAGATACAAAAATAATCAAGCCTAAACACAGCAGCTGAAGAAAAAGGTTTTGAAATTTCCAAAAAAAGTACATAGAAAAGTATGTGGCACCATCTCATCAAATTGTGCATCTACTGAACAGAAGAGGCGTAGATTTGATTTACGTTAGTTGTACTGTATCATAAAAAAACGGAGTTACATTTTATAAAAACAACTTTTTTTGCTGAAAAACATGAAAACCTGCTACTCATAGGCACCTTTACCCTCGGTTTCATTACAAAACTAGAAATTGTTGAAATAGCGGTTACTGCTACTGCTAACTGTGTATCCTCCCCTAGAACCCCCGTATCATCAAAATGTTTGAATGGGGGCTTGAGAGTCATTAGACACCTAACTGAGCTTATGCGGTAGTATCCAGTGAACAAGTCCAAAAAAGGGCTTTCAAACGCCAGAAGTGACTTCAAAACCCACATCAAAATTGTAATAACTTTGGCAGTACATTTACGCGTCTGAGTTGCTCGATTGAAATATCAGTTTACTTAAAAAACAAATAAAAAAAAATCTGATCAGTTCTTCATTGCTCAATAAGAATAGATCGCGCACTTGGTGAGCAATCTGAATCTGTTCAAAAGTGGCTTGAGAAAAACCAGCACAATTGGTGGGAAGTGGTGTCTTCTCTCGAAATAAATCATCATGCTTTGTTCCCCGAGAATTAAGTGAAGCTCGTTGAATTTTGCTATTCAGATTAGGTCTTCTAATATTGTACGCGGGCACCTCGAATTTGAAAAACTCATGTAAAATTCTTTCCGAATGTAGCCCTGATACTGTTTGCATAACGAACTTAAAAAATTCATTAATTCGGAGCTAGTTAGGATTTTTTAATCAAGAAATACATTTCGTATGCTTTCAAAAAAATTTTGAAAGTAAATCAACCGATTTATCATTTTTTGTATCATCAAAAGGTGCGAAAGAATTGTAAAACTAGTACAACCGTACACCAGAATTTCGTTTTGTGGCATTGGTTTAATATTAGAGCTAAAGTGTTTGAGTGAAATAGTTTTTGGAACTTAATGACGCATTATTGAGACGTTTTATGATTATAATATTGAAATGAATTTGATGATTGGAAGCACTACTCGAAGATAAGCGAACTTAAACTGTTTTATCCGTATTCAGGGTCACTTAAATGATTGTTAGCCATTTGCTGACAGCTTCTAAGTCTTTATTGAAGTTTTCGACGGAGCAATTTAATCTAGTCACGTTGGTGTTGTCTAAGAACTAAAAAAAGTCACTAAAAATTCAATTTTTTGAAAGGTCCTTTATGTATATCAAAAACAAAATTAAGCACAAAACAGAACCTGGAGGAACGCCTTACTTTATTCTCCGCCACGTTGAAGTTGAGGGGCCAATTTCTTCAACTTGTTTCCTATGCTTCAAGTAGCTTATAAACCAGTTCAGACTATTTCAAATAACACCGTGCTTTTCTGATTTTCGAAACAAAATATGGTGATCAAGAGTGTCGAAAGCTTTTTTTAAATTAAAAATACTGCTGTTTTGACCTATTGGCTAAAATTTCAGCGACATTTTTTAGTTACTTTGGCAATTGCAACAACAGTGCTGTGATTTTTGCGAAAACCAAATTATTTGATATAAATTAGAAAAATAAACATAAACTCCAAGTAATTAAATATTCTGTTGTAAATTTCTCGCTCAAACACCTTGCTCCACAATGCAGGTAGTGATATTGTTCTATAGTTACTGACATAAAATTTAAATTCATCCTTATACAAAGGAAAAACAACCGCCGGTGCAAGATATGATGGAAAACTTCCTGATTTCAAAGACAATTCGATCAGATGCTTCAAAACAGGAGCAACCGCCAAAGACCTTGTTCTGAGAACGAAGTTGTTTGTTCCATCGATACCAGAAGGAACATCTTTTTGCAGCTTAAAAAAATAGTTTGAGTTTCCATTTCCGAGACAGGAAAACTACGCATACAAAAACTCAGCGTGACAAAAAAATTGATCATATACAAGGTTTGGTATGTTACTGGCTAGAATTTTTCCAATTGTGGAAAAAAAATGTTTTAAACTCATTTGCAAAAACCAATTCATCACTGGATGGGTCGCGGCTATTTGACTTATTGAAAAAATCTGTTTTTTTGGAGGTATTTGTTTTTTTTTCTTTCATTTAAAAGTATTGTTTTTGTATTGTTTTTTTTCTTTCATTTAAAAGCCTATAAATTTGTCTTGAGTCACGACTGCGTTTTTTGAGTTTATCATAATAATAGTTTCTCTTACACTTCATAATTTCAATTTGAGTTTTACTTCGAGCAATTTCGAGGCTTAATCTTGTTCCTTCCGCGCTTTTCTTTTTAGGCCAGGTTTTATAAAGTCTACTACGATTGGCAACTAATTTTTTATATGATTAGTCAACCATTGTCACTTAGTTTTCCGTTCTTTAGTTTGGATCTTATCAATTGAGCGTACTTATTTTGAATACTATGGTATTTCGACTGAAGTTCTTCAAAAAGATCATCAATCGATTTTGTTGTGTCCAGTGTTTCGTAATTCTGTAATTCATTCACAAAAGCAATGTTATAGTCATGTATATACCATCGAGAATTTAAGAAAATAGTATCAGGTACCTTTTGACAGTGTCACGCTGGTGTTTGTGGTATAAAGCTCTAAGAAAGTTGGGTTATAATCAGAGAATGATTGATTTTCGAGCGTATAGGCGAGTTTAACATTTATATATTTTACTATCTTATGGTCTAACAGATAGGATAGGTTTTTTGTTTTCAGAACTTTTGTACTTAAATCACCGCATTTCATAGCTCGATGCTTTTTGTGGCTTATGTTTTCTTACACCTTTTTGAAGTCTTCTACAAAAGCATCTTTGGGAGGGTTGTAGACCAGCATTATCCAGAAAACGTTCTTACTAAATTTAACAAAAAACCGAAACACTTCAAGCCAATTCAGATGCAAACTCTTCAGTTATAGTTACGTCAACATTCATTTACATCATGAATCCAGCCCCCATGCCTTTTCTAGGTTTATTATTTTTAGTGTTTTAATCTTTTAGCCGGTAGCTATTGTGATTATTACAGTCTTCCAACCATTTCTCGCTGTGGCAAATTTTATCAGGTGGTGACTCAAGGCTATGTATAAGTGCTTCCATTTTGTCGGGGTGTTTATGGTGTGACCGTAAAGTTTAATGAAAAACTTTAGCACATTTTGATTTAGAAGAAGGGTTACACGGTTTTGAATACGGTTGCTATTGTTTTCCCAAAACAGCTTTCACTGTCTTCTATCGTGTATTGAAGCTTCTTTCCTCCTTCGTGTATACCTCTTATGCAAAAGATGATGTTACTTTTTTTAAATTTGAAATAAATAATGCCCTCTCGTGTCCAAGCTGATTCAACTCGTGAGTCTTGTTTCGTAAGATTAAGAGATCTTCAAAAACTTTTACGGACTTCATGGATTGGGACTGGCTTAGCTTTCGCTTTTTACGGAGAAGTTCTACTTTGGCGAGTCGACTAGAGAACCGAATTATCATCGGTCGTGATATCGTATTTCTGTCAGCTAATCTATGGGCAATAGGATAACTGTCGTCTCAATTTCAGCTCCAGCTTCTTTGACAAGGCTTTGGCTGTACTCTTCGAAGTTACTCCGGCCATTTTTCCTTCACAGCGTTTTTCCACGATTCCAATAATTCGCGCATTATCTCGTCGATTGTACCCTTCCCTTCTAGAAGTTCGGCTTCTGATACCGCTTTTAAGTTTCATTTTCTAGCCTCCAGCTCATTTTTTTTGTCTCCTTTAAATCTGATCACTTCACATCGTTCAGTCCTTGATTTAACAAGGATTTGAAGATAGTTTTCAAAGTTAACTCCATTGTCGCAACGATCTTTGGGATTTGTTCTAAGGAGGCGTTTCAATACTGGATTGATATTGAGGTTTGGTTCAGATATTGCCTTCAAATCAGGACTCAGTGCAGCACATATTCATTTAGAGTACGATTTTGGATTAGGTGTTCGATCTTTTGGTGTACGATTTTGGATTAGGTGTTCGATTAGGTGCTGGATTAGGTGTTTGATCTAGGTGTTCGATATCTTACTTGTGGAATATTGTCGCTATCATCTTGAATAGTTCTTTCCTCTCGTACATCAGTGATATGAGCAGTTTTGGTTTTTGGGTTATCCTTTTTGCGTCTCTGAAACTATTTAATAAATTTATCACAACAAACAGGCTGAAAGTTTATGTTTAAAAAAGCTTATGTCTTCTTCTCAAAAGAAGTGGTGAATACACCAGGTAAGTTCATGCTGGTTTTTGTGGTGAAGCAGCGGAAAATTACGTGTTGCATGTTTTTTTTCTAAATTTCTTTATCAAAGATTCAATAAAAATGGTGATTCTGTGCAACAAAACAGCTAAATGATATGATGCTTTACCAATGAGCGTCCGTTTTTTTGAATGAACAAAGTTACAGTAAGCAGTTACTAATTACCACAGATTTAAATCTGGCAGCCTGTGAATTTTCAAACAAATTCAACATCCTAAACCTTCTGTGTGCTTTACGCTATCCTTGTTACCAAAAATACTGAGGAATAACCGTTTGTTTCAGCGGGCAATAGTTATCCTGGCGTTGTCTGTTGCTACGCTCCTAGTAACGCCGTGGACTCGTATTTTTTTATGGTTTAACCTTCACTTCAACAAGCTTGGTGGTTACAAAAAACTTCAAATTTTAGGGTGTTCTATTCAAACCACCAGACTCTCAAATTCAATGAAAAGCCCCCTCGCGCTCTCGCTGTGGCTTGAGCGGAACAGCGCTACAAACAAGCATTTTTTTTTAATTCTTTCTTCAAAGCTTTCTATCGGTATCCGTATTGACATTTGATTTTTCAACCTTTTTATGTGGTTGTGGGCGCAGAGGGTTGCGGGTTTGATTTTTGGGTGGAAGGCTAGAAGTCAGATCCAGGTGGAGTTCAGACAAATTGCAGCGCAGACACCAAAAGCCAATAACACTGACCAGCCTTCACGCCGTGACCAATTCCACCGAAAAAATGCAAAATTGCTTTAATGTCTAGACAACTATTGAAAGTGCTTAGTAAGATACCTCACTCGATTCCATTTCATTACAAAACTAAACTGCACACTGAACTGTCGCACGTTTATTATTGGAATCCAGAGATAAGTCTTTAAAATTGTTTCAAAATTTGTAGCGGATTCCTCAACATCTTTGAGGAACAATTTTGAGCGATACAGTGTTTCAGCTATTTGTTCATGAAATTCAAAACAGCGGAGAATATCAAAGAAAACTTGCAATGTTCCGGATTCAGGGATAAATCTGTTTTTGTCTTGTCGCGGAATCTGCATACAATTCACAAGACACGCTGTTTGGCGTCATTGTGTTGGCGGTTTTTTCGTGAATCCGGATTGTGCATGCTAACAAAAACAAAAAAAAACACTTGATTTCAATCACATCTTCAGTTTCAGCGATCACAACAAAAAAGCAAATACTGAACAGAAAATGAAATAAAACTGAGAAATACTGATGCCTTTTACCAGTTTTTTTTTTTGAAAATTTTAAAAATATCCAATAAAGATAAAGACTTTGAACACTCGACTACATGCGTTAAGCGGAAAATGTGTTTTTGCATGTCGCTCGCTTACCCCGCAAACCGTCTATAAGTCGTCAAAATGGGTTGCGTCAAAACTGAACCAATGGCAAGGGCGTTGTTGTTCCGACTTTCCATACGAAAGTAACGGAATATTTGTGCTCGGGGTGGGTTTTTTTCTTCAGACAAATTTCGACTTTTTAATTAGCCATTTTTGACAGAATTTTTTAAAATCATTCGAAAAGTATTGTTGTCGTGAGCTCAAATTTGAAACGATATTTTACCTGGGATAATTTTTTGTAAAGTTATGGGGGTTTAAAGATTGCCATTTTGGCCAATTTGGGCCAATTAGCACGCGATACATTTCGCGCTATTAACGCGTAAGCGGAGAGTTAATCCGTCTTAGAAATCGTTCCAAATTGGTTGAAAGAAGCTTATTTGCCCTAATTAATTTGTTCCAAGGAGCTAAATTCTATCCTTTTGTACTTTATATGGCGTGTGGGGGGATGAGTTTCACAAAAAATTTCAAATTTTAGAAAAAATTTTCATTTTATTTTATTTAATGTAATTTTTCAATGTTATTACTGCTCCACCTTAAAAGGCAGTCGGAACATTCAGGGGTTCGCCCTGATACGAGCAGTCTTGTTCTACATTTAAATACAAGAAAATAACGAAAGCATTAAATTATTTTGAACACGTTCTGAGAATCCTCAAAACTGAAAGTGAAACTTGGTTGGTAATGATTGGTATTCGATGACGCCTATAGTGAAGTTTTGGGGTTGAAATTAGATTCTAAATTAACTTCAAGCTTCTCCCTTTCATGTGCGGCAATTCACCAGATGAATTTGTTTGGCAAGTCCTGCTTTATAGCACTAATCGCCAGTTTAACTGCATCTGAGAAGCTCTAATCCCAAAAAACACGGCTGCACTTCCCTTTTTCAGATAGACCCAAATTACGTGTTCAAAGTTGTCCCTGCAGTTTGACTCAGTTGTTCAAAAATCAACAAAGCCTGAAATAATTAACAGTTTTTTTCAATTTTCATTTTATCTCCAATTGTTAACGTCACTTTTGGCGTCTTATATTCGTCTTTTCAATAGTAAAGGTAAGCTAAAAACACCCAAAAATATATTTTGAAAATTTCAAAATTTTAGTTCACATTATCTTCAATTAATTAACTTGCAATCAATTTCAGCCAAGCTCAAGCCTTATTTCTAACTTTCTTTCTCATTTCCTGATTCAATTTGGGTCTTTTGAGCTAAAAATATGACGATCCAAACTTTGTAGGACAAACGTTAATCAAGCTATCAACAAAAACGCTTTTACTCATGTCTCAATGTTTAAATAACCTTTTAAAACCTATTTTGCATGATTTATAAAAATGACATTTATTGTAAGTTAATCTGTTTTTTTTTCTTAATTCCACCGGGGATTTTGGGCCAGAAGTAGACTAAGCTAGATTTTTTTTGGTTCTCAGAATGACTATTTGCGGCTAAATGTGTTTTCTTTAAATATAAGGCAATATTATGCTGAGTTCTTGTTTTGAACTTCTGTCATTTTTCAGTCCTTCTTTCAATTTCTTTTTTAACTTCTCTTCCTTTTCAAATTTATCTCTTTATTTTTCCCAAGACTCCTTTTTCTCCCTGATCTTTTTTGATAACTGCCTTTAGCCTTTGTTTATCGCAGCCCCCTCCCTGAATTTCAATCTTGCAAAATTCTGTCAACTGCTCATCAAGCAATTGCTGCACATATTTAAGCTGCTGCACTTATCCATCATACACCGAAAAACGTAGAGGCCCACCACTAAATCGTCTGTTGAAAAATTACTGAAATATATGTTTTTTTACTATTGAAACAGGTTGAGGAGTTTTTATTCTTTAAGAGCTTCAATTTACTACAACCTTGCGGTCATTAAACAAGTTTTTGACAACTTCAGTCAATAAGTTAACCAGTAAGGTTTTCAAAATTTTATGTCCTAAACAATTGATCAAAAAATAAGGTTATGTTGCTTGCTAGGGCCGTTTGTAGGCTTTTCTCGGAATTAGAAGGGGAGGGTGTTCAATTTTTGAAATTTTGTTTTTGTTCAACTACATTGATTTCTCGAGTTCTCCCAAATCTCTACAAAATTTTTTCGGGACATGCCCTTTAAAATTTTTCAGGTTTGATCTTCGAAAAATAATGCCGCATCATCCAAAAAAAACTCTCTTTTGAGGTGCGCCATTTGAAATTTTTTAGGGTTGGTTGCCCAAAATAAATCGTACCAAATCGCTGATGTGAGAGAGAGATGGTGTCGATCTTCTTTTTAGATCCGCTACTGATGGCATAGATTTCATGTTCAGTATTTTGTCAGATTGCCATTCACGCTTGAATAAACTCGATTTTTAGTATCTGGTTTTGTTTAATGTTTGGGATCCAAAATTGAATAAAATCTGAATACCCAAACTACGGAACACTTAATAAAGTAATTATAACGTTTTTGTAAAAAAAAATTGGAATGGAACACAGTTTTCGTTTTAACGTAGGACTCGTAGCTATAGATTTTTTTTAAAACTGTGTCACTTTCTCTTCTTTGATTCGACCTGACAGTTGTTAAGAATTAAATTTTTTTTTGCCAAAAAAAGTTTAGCACAAAAAGTTATTTACAAAACACCAAAAACAGGTATCGTTTTGAAACACTTTCAGTCGTGATTTGAGATGTATTAAAATTTCTGCAGATTTTACCGAGTTTTAGAAAATTCAGTTTTTTCTGCTTTCTAGAAAACTGATGGCATCAGTTTAAGGACATTCCATTATACAATTTCCTCAGACTGGAGCGGAAACGTGGGGGATTATAGCGAACGAAAAGATATTGAAAAAAGGGCTCTCTTCTGGTATTTTGGTTTGTACCTGAAAACTTCAGCCCCATCAGAATCAAACATTTTACACTGAAATACTTTAATCTAATTTTAATTTTAATTTAAACATTTTTAGTTTTTCAACTACGTCTAGTTAAAGAGTAAGATCTTTAATTGATCCAAATCTCAACTCAATTTTAATTTCGCGGTCGCAACCTTTCAGGTCATCTTTTGAATACATACTTTTAGCTTTTCTCAACTTCAGGTTTCTGTCTGCTTTTCCCATTTAGAGCAGAAGTAAAATGAAAAAAAAAAAAACAAAAAAAAAGTTTCTTTGGGATATCTGTTCTTAAGATCTTTACTTGATTCAAATTTTACTTTTAATTTTCATAACAAAAAAAACTTCATACCAACTTCTGCTACGAATAAAAAATGTCTACTTTTTTTAAATATAAGCTCGTGGCTATAACAAAAATTTGGTTGTTGTTCTGACTCGCGAAGAAATTGGTGGCACAATTGTGCTCAAGGTTGATTTTTTCAGACGAATTTTGTATTTTCAACTAGCAATTTTTGGCTGAACTTTTTGAAAGATTTTTGAGCTCAGATTTTCAATTTCAATTTACTTGCGATAATTTTTCGTGAAGATATGGGTTTTGAAAATGGCTAATTTGACAATTTTGGGACAATTAATGTGTGATACTTTTTCCTTCTGAAACGCTTAAGAGGCGATCGAATGCTGCTCAAAAGTTTTTCCAACCTGAATTGAGTCAGGCTATTCATATCAATTGTTACGTTACAAAAGTGAAACTACCAGTTTGTACTTTAAATGGCGTGTTGAGGGATGATTGATAAAACTTTTTAAAAGGAAAGTTTTGTTTATTTTTTTAGCATCATCATTTTGGTTTAAATTGTTAAATTTTCATATAGCTTAAAGAGCTCCAATACGAGCAGTTTTGTTTATTTAGTAAATCATTTATGTAAACTTATTTATGAAAGTAAGAAAAAACAGTTCCTCAAGCAATAGCTCTGCGACAAATTGTTATTTTTTAAATGTTATCAATTGTCGCCTGCGCAAAGTATCACCATTATTGTTGCCTCCCATCTTTGAACAACTACAAATTTTCTTCGAAGTACTTTAAATCCAACTCCCCGCAGCAATTTTCTTTTGCTCCGACTGTTTGAAAAATGTGGAGGTACTTTGTATCCGGGTATGATTTAATTTTTCCACGCAAAATCAGCCACCAAATCATTATCGGAATATGACAAGTGACATATCAGATAAAAGCCCTTTAAGCCGAGATTAAAATATTTCTCACTGTCGAATATAAAAACCGGATTGTTTTTTTTGGTTTTTTGGTCTAATTTCAAGATCAAGAGGCATGGCTAAGCAGGCTTACAAAAGCTTTGTTATGTACGTTTTGAGCCGCAAAATCATGGTTTTTTTTCAAGTGAAAAACATTTTTGGAGTTTTTAGCGCCAAATTTCTTTAGCGCCAATTTTGCAAAAAAAAAGACTTTTTGAATTTTTTAAACATTTTTTTAGTAACTTTTCTTTAAAAACGGTTTTCCAGTTGATCCATTTTACTATGAATGTCGAATATGCCTGAGTTTTTTTCGTTCAGACTTTTTATTACACCACGCAGCAATTACACGCAGTGTGATTTCTTATTACACCACGGAACCTTCTGCGCTATTTGCACAATAACTGGCTATACTTGTTATTTTACATCATCTGAAAAAAATTATAGCTTAAGCTCAAAATGAAATTAAAAATTTGCTGCAAATTTTGTACGCAAAGATATATTGGTTTGATTTTTGCCTATATTGCTAATTTGGGATAGTTAATGCGCTCAAAGTTTTCAGTTTTTATTAACCTGTTTATCGTACATGGCATGGCGATTTAATCCGGCTTGTAAATAATTCCACATTGAACTGAGGCAAGTTAATTCATCCAAAGGTTGCGTTACAAGAAAATGATTTAATAAGATTGAAATACTATCCAATAAAGCGTTAAGTTCTTGTTTTATTAGATAGAAAGCTGCTTAAAAATACCAACTCCTTCACTATGATGGTAAAAAAGAAAACGCTGCAGAATAATTCATGGTTTAGTTAATTTTAGCCTTCATTATTTGGAATAGATAACCATATTTTGGATATCACCGACTGTTTTTCTATACAAAGCGGAACTTTTTTTGACGAATCTTGAATGACGATTGAAATAACTGGTTTTTGACACCACACATCAGTCGATTCCATACGATGCTTGAGCTACCTGATTTTCAGTAAAAAGAATACTTGCTCCAAAATTAATTCCGATTTTGTTTTTGGAACGACGTTGAATTTTTATAGAATTTAACTTGTTCATCAGACCCAACAGATTCCCCATTTTTGCCTCACCAAAAAATAGATTGAAATTAAAATAAGACGACTTAACATAGAAAAAATATCGCTGACATATTTCCCCCAAATCGATCAGTTTTTTTCTACTATTTTTTCTTACAAATTATTCAATTTTTTGATTTCTTCTTTTTTGAAGATTCAAATGTTGATTTTAGGGCCAAAAAACTTCAAAAATAGGTATCAAAGAACCATCAATTATCTTGAAACTCAATTTTTATTTGCACTTAGCTCGCTGCTATTAAAAATAAAATAAATCAATTTATGTCGCGACCCGACTTAATTTTATCTAAGAACTATGAAAAAATTAGGCTTTTTCGATGATTAGTTCATGCCTTTGATTCAGCTGAATTTAATGATTTTCATCTTTTCATTGCAGAAAAACGAGGAAATTACTACCGGTTTCTGAACTAACTTGCTCACTTTTTGAATGTCAACCGAACGAAAGTTATCAATTTGTACGGAAGCTTAACTTTTTGTTAAAATAGAATCTTAATAATTAATGTGGTTTGGTGAAAGTATCGCTGATGAAACATTTTTTACCAACAACTAACCCAGTAAATTTGTAAACCCAGAAAAGTATGAGCGCGTTATTCTCTCCATTTCAGAGTGCGTCTTCAAATGGCAAATGAAGCAAGACTTGGAACATGTGAACAAGTATTGCAGACATCAGCAGACCCCCTTTGAAGATAACTTCCTCCTAAAATCCACAAAAATCCCCTCACAATTCCGATTTAGACCCAAAACACCAGCTAGATTACAACACCCATATCTCATCAACTACCCATTATGCAATCCCCGCTTTTGCCACAGCAGAGAAAATTAGCTGCAAATTGAGATTTATCCTCTCACAAAGCAGAAAATTACTTTCTTTTTGTGCTTATCTCTGTCTGGTTAATTTTTAATATACCAATTTATCTTGCCATAAATAGTTTCCCTTCCAAGAATATGTTATTCGACCATTTTAATTGCAGCCCCAATTATTTTTGTGACCATTAACCAGCATCTTTAAGATCTGATTATTTAGGCATGCTGTAATGGATTTAATATTTGATACGGAAAAGATGACATTCGATTCTGCAGTTAGAATTTCGGAATATGCAATAATGTACTTGATGAGGTAAGTGAAACGTAACTATGCTTGCTTCATGGAAAAACCCCTATTATGTTGCGTAGTTTCGATGGAAAAAAATTTTATGCTTCTCCGTGTTTCGTAAAAAAATTAAATCTTTATAGCTCTAATGACAACAATTTTTTTGGCTCAATTTCTATTTTTTTTACTCTATTCTTTTTACAAATCTTTTTCTTTTATAAGAGCTTTAAAATCTTTCAGAATTTTCCCAATTAGGGGCAACGGGGTTGGCATTTCGGCCGGACTTTTTTTCCCAATTTGCCTGCAATTGACAAAAAAATTGGTTAAAATTGAATTGTCTCCTCAAGTTTTATCAGCTAAGTTTCCGCATCACGGATTTTGCTTGTGCCGTAAACATCATTCCTTGCAAGCGCAAAGTTTTGTCTTTCTATTATCAAGAGGGAACTTAAAAGATTTTTTTTTCCTAAAATTAGTTTTTTCGGCTCAAACTTTTGCCACATTACAGGTTTTTCTTATTCTGAGAGCATTTTTTTGGTAGTTGCACGCGCAGGTGTTGTTCATTTTAGTTTCAGTTAGGACTGAAATTTATATTTTTTTAAATAGTTTTAATTTCTTTCATATCAAATTGTGTCTGCTCAAAGATTGTCGACTTTGTTTCCTCATTGGAAGTTTTGGTCCGTTGCTACTTTAACAGACAAATTTCTCTGAATTTTGCTCTTTTCCAGGGGATTAAAAACAGGTCGCAGGACTAGATAGTCTCCAACCATTTGTTACACATGAAGTAAGCGAGTGATTAAAATTGGTTATTTTTTCTAGTCAAAAAACGAAAAAAAATTGTGGAAACCTTGTTGGTCTTAAAACTCTCTGAAAATTCATTTAGAACACCTAGGGCTTCGCCCTGACATGCAAGAAGTTTTTTTTTCAATTCAAAGAGCGCTAATTCATTTAGGTGGTACTGGTATGGCAGTAGCCTGATAGTTTACAATTGTAATGTTTAGTATTTGTCGTAATGCCGGTCAAAGAGGTTAAGATCAAAAACAGTGCTTGACACGAGACAGTGTGCTATCTAAGTGATCTAGAATCTAGATTTGTTTTCAAACTCATTTAACAAGAGTCGTATTTTTGTTAATTCAAGTTTTCGATCAACAATCTCTTCAGTACCGGTCACAGGATACCAGAATACATAAAAGAGAAAGAGAGAGACAGAGAGAGAGAGAGAGAGAGAGAGAGAGAGAAGGAGAGAGAGAGAGAGAGCTGAAAATAAATGAAATTTGCCGTATTCCATAGAGAAAAACCATTAACTTTTTCAGCGTGAAACCAAAATCAGCGTGTTTTTAGTTATTTCTGGTGAAAATGATTCTTCTCGGGTTTTCTGTGCAACTTCCGAATCAAAAGGATACTCTTGTTTTGTTCTATATTTTCAATACAATTTCCGAGTATTTGTGCTTGGGTGGGGTATTTGTACGGATATTTTCAATTTTTATTTATTTATACCTTTTTGCCAATATTTTGATTCAGCTTGAAATAATTTGTCAGGTTTAGCTAATTATTTTTAAAAAATTTTTGGAGCTGATAATTTGTATACAGTGAATTTATTTATAAATCCAATAACAACTTTTTCTTGCGTCGAACAGCAATTTCTTAAAAAGTCTATCGAATTTAATTTGAGGCATGCTTGTTTGTCTAGTTAACGCGTTTTTACACATAAACTATGTTCGTATTTACCTAAAATGTGATAGAGTAGCAATTACAAGAGTTGTGTTTTTGAAAAGGATGGAACCATATAATTTTAAAATCAAAACTTATTTCAGATTTTCCGACCGACAGTCAAAAAAAACTGCTCCATCCTGATACAAGCAGTCTTGTCTAAATGTTGTCAAAAACCAAACCAAACACCTTTCATGTTTTTTGATATTTTGTTACGTTCCCATTTCCGAAGAAATAGAGAATCGTTCATGCTTTGGGTAATTTTTTAAAGCAATTTTGAAAGAAAATTGTAGAGTGGGTACTGAACCTGAAAATTAGTGCGTGCAAATCTGCTATGCAATATTCTGAATGTGTTTTGAGCTTACACATTTTGCTCGTTTTGAAGACTCTATGTATGATACTGAAAAACCTAAGTCGCTTTTTCGTCAAAATAGTTACGAGTGGAAATCAAGATAACTTATAGACTTTTTGGTCATTTTATTCACCTATACGACTCGAATTTTGACACTCAATGTTGAATATTGGCACCCCCATCAAAGTTTCTTGGATTAAAAAGAATTATACTGAGAAGTCTTGCCAAAAATGTAGCTAATGAAATCGATTGTGTGTATTTAATTTAGGCAACATTTTCTTTTTTAAAAGCGCCAAAATTTATTCTTACCCCCAAAATATTTCCAAAAAAATTTTTTTTTTCTGTATCACCGTATAATTGTTGTGTTTTAAAACCTAAATCTAGAGCAACCAACATGGATGCTACCTTGAATTAACTAATAGTCACCAAGAAAAAAACTTAATTTTTGCTAAGTTTTTTGAATTATTTTGATGTCTTCCAGTTTTTATACCAAATGAGACAATAGATTGAAGCATAAGTAAAGAAACGAATCTGAAACTTAGAGCAACATAAAAGGAGCATTGCGACCATGATTTCATTAAGAACCATCAGTAAAAAATTCTGTTTTTGTAAGAATATTTTAAAAAGTTTCTGATGATGATCGGTTCAAAAACAGCCTAAGACAAAAAATTAAGGCATTTTTATAAGCAACAGTAACTATAATAGAGAAATGCGACCATGATTTGATTTAAGATGATCAGTAAAAAATTTGTTTTTTTTTGCCCATTTTTTTTGCAAAATTTAAATAATGAGGCAGAAACAAGCAAATAAATCCGAAGAAAGGAGCAACATAAAAAGGAATTGATTAAACTACAAATCACCAGTTAAAATCACTATTTTGTAACTAAAACTATTGTATTCAGGGGCGGATCTAGGATTTTCTCGAGGGGGGCGGATTTTCAAAAAATTTTCCAAAATTTTGACGACCTTTTTTTTTTTTTTTTAGGTCCATCAAATTGATTTTTCGAGGTCTCTCAAAGCACTGTTTTGCCCCTATTTTGGCTAAATTTTCTGCTAAATTTTCTGCTAAATTTAGGCAAATTTTTGAAAAACAGCCAAAAAAGCCGTTTTTGGGCACTTTTTGAAAAATTTTGACAAAAAAAAAATCGCGGTATTTTTGGCGCGCGCTCCCCCTCAAAGTTGGTATATATTGGCGCCTAAGGCGCCATTAGAAAAAGTTTAGGGTCGGTCAACCAAAAATGGAATTCTGAAAAAGTATCAAAGGGGGGACCCTTTGGGTCGGCAGGGGGTCGAATCCCTGAGGGGAAGGCGTCCGCCCCCCCCCCCTAAATCCGCCCCTGATACAGGTGTTTCCGATATAATTTTCAAATTGAAGTCAAACTTTTTATTAACTTCTTCAACTGAGGTAATGAAATTTGATCCAAACAAACGTTGTTTTTCTAGAATTATGAATTTCGCAAGAGCGTACAACTAACAAAAACTCATCCTTCCAATGACATATCAAATTGAGCGGTAGGTGTTTTTTTGTTTTTGACTATTGCCATTTTACTGACCAAGTGGCACGTAAATGACTGACTGTATAAGCAAATTAACCTGAGATTTTAAGCCTAATTTTTCATGAATACAATTGGTATTCATGAAAAATTAGGCTTAAAATCTCAGGTTAATTTGCTTATACAGTCAGTCATTTACGGGCCACTTGGTTAGTATAATGGCAATAGTCAAAAATAAAAAAAAACCTACCGCACAATTTGATATGTCATTGGAAGGATGAGTTTTTGTTAGTTGTACGCTCTTGCGAAATCCATAATTCTAGAAAAACAACGTTTGTTTATATCAAATTTCATTACCTCAGTTGAAGAAGTTAATAAAAAGTTTGACTTCAATTTGAAAATTATATCGGAAACACCTGTATCAGGGGCGGATTTAGGGGGGGGGGGGAGCGGACGCCTTCCCCTCAGGGATTCGACCCCCTGCCGACCCAAAGGGTCCCCCCTTTGATACTTTTTCAGAAATCCATTTTTGGTCGACCGACTCTAAACTTTTTCTAAAGGCGCCTTAAGCGCCAATATATATCAACTTTGAGGGGGAGCGCGCGCCAAAAATAACGCGATTTTTTTGTCAAAATTTTTCAAAAAAGTGCCCAAAAACGGTTTTTTTTTACTGTTTTTCAAAAATTTGCCTAAATTTAGCAGAAACAGTGCTTAGGAAAACCTCGAAAAATCAATTTGGTGGACCTAAAAAAAAAGGTCGTTTAAGTTTTGGAAATTTTTTTGAAAATCCGCCCCCCCCCCCCTCGAGAAAATCCTAGATCCGCCCTGACCTGTATAACTCGCTTAATGAAAATAATGAAGTTTAAAAAGGAAATTTTCTTGACTAATTTAGAAGTTAGAATAGTTATATGGACTTAAAAGCAGGTCCTGATTATTTTTTCTACGTTTTTTAAAGGAGCCCCATTTGGTTAACCCATCCCGTTTGAGCTCATACGATATTAATAGAAAAACTAGGAAATCTGCTTGCTTTAGAGGACAGAGCAGACATCAAGCAACTTTCACACTGGCCAGTTGGACTCAAGTTCTTTCAGTTTTTGTTTTTATTTTATCTCAACTTCAATTCGTTTCATGCCGATTCGGGTCCGACTTTGCTCCTTCGTATCTCTACGACATCGAGAAGAACAATTATGACGTAGTCAAGTGCTGTTTCGACAACCGAATCCCAAAATACTGTCTCAAAATGTGCGACGGGAAAACACAGAGTTTCAGCAGTCGCGATATTTGCCGAGGGGCTTACGAGGATATTCGGAAATTGTGCTTCATTGGCCCATCTTCCGATGAAAACTATTATAATGGCAACGAAAATTATAAACCATCAAGCAATATCAAATTATACGATCCATTCGAAGCCAATGATGGCGGAAGTGAGTTTCGGAGTGATCAAAATGTGAACAAAGTTCAACTTTATTTTCCACAAAATGAAAAATCGAAGAATCAAAAAGATCTAGCGGGTGTTATTGCGACAAATTATAATTGGTTGATAAGCTTTTTCATGCTGTTTTATTTGTTAGATTTTTGGTTATTCTAAATTTTGTCAAATTTATGATGAACGGTCGTGTTAGGTGCAGATTTGGGGCAGCAATTTCATCGTAAAGAAAAATCGATTCCAGCCCCAAATTTAACAACGAAATTAAAAAATCCAAAAGATGCCAAAAATTTGAATGCTTTGTATTTTTACTGGTCAAATATAGTTTTGTATAACTTATTTGTATGTTTTTACATTGTTTTGATTCCAGTTCAATTGCATAGTTTGTTGCACATTTTCAGCCCTTATTTTTAGACAAATGCATTAGTCTAGATAAGAGTATTTTGCTGGAGATATCTCCCAAGAACTATCTATAGTCGTAGGTCCCTAGAAAGTTTGTGCTCGTCCGCCAGATGTTTTGTTTTTATGGCAAACATGATAAGATAAACTAGGCTGTGCCCGTTTTTGAGCAGTTTAGTAAAATCATTCTGTCTTCCTTAGTAAAACGATTCCGTCAAAAGCTGAAAAAAAAATTCTCTTCAGCATTTGTGACTATTTCTTCTCGGCGTAATTTTCGGATCTAATTTTTGTGGTTTATGTCCTCAAATATATGCTTGTCGTGGTTGATTATTGGACCAATTTTGACAATTGAAATTACAGTTTACGCTTTCAGCTTTTTTGTTACTACCAATGAAAATTTTTTTAAAAAAAATTCATCAAAAAACTTGAATATTGAGTGTTATCCAAAGCCAGTAAAATGGCATGTGGAACACTCAGAGTTTGTAATGATACGTGGTTTTTTTTGTCAAAAATGTTGTTTTCTTATTGGTCATTTTGAACTTTTTCAAAATTGACCAATAAGAAGCGATGCGCAAAGTGAGCGCAAAGTTATAACAAATTTAGTTTGTGTTTTTTTTGAGAAATTACGAAATTTGAAAAATTTCAATTTGGCAAAATTTGGCTAATTGAAAGCGCTTGAACTTTCATTTTATAGATATAAATTTTTTTCCGACGTAGAAATGTATCGAAACTGAAACAAAGCATGGCAATTGATTCAAAAACTGACTGTACTCAAAAATATCACACTTAAATTCTGGCAGTTTTTTGGGCAGTCCGAAGGTAAGAACAATATATCTTAAGGCAAAGTTTGTAATAGCAACAGATCATAAAGCCGTCACATCAGCATTAGATGGTAATTGATTTTTCAAAAGTTGCCGAACTCGGTTAACTCGATGGATTGATAAATTACTACCCTGTCATATAAAAATTCACCAAAAGCAGTTACTTAAAAAATTGAAAAAAAGAACTCGAAAAATATTCAGAAAAATCCGGGAATTGGAACGAGAATTTACTGGGAAATAGATTAAAACACGAAAGTCAAGAAGTGAACTTGATAGACCCAAAATGGAATAGAACGATTGAAAAACGTCAAAGCGGCCAATCGGAATTTGAAAAAGTCGCAGAAAATTTTCGAAGGACAACCCGTTTGGGAATCAAATGGCTGTGGTCGAAGGCTGTTCCCTAGTGGACAGCAGTACCGATCCAAGTTAAGCCAGTCGCAATGAACTGGATTCACAGAGGACATCCACACAAGATGCATTGCTGAACGTGTCTTACTACCTGATTTGGCCTCTTATACAAAAAGACATAGTAAACTTGGCGGAGCAGAGTACAAATTACGGGGTGAGAATCTAAATACATAACCGCTAAATTTTCTGCTAAATAATTACAACTGCTTACGCAGCTGGGACAGCTAGACCTATGAAAAGCCATAAAAAGGAGGAAAAAAGTTAACTCGTAGCAAAAGATTTCAAAATTTCCTTCGGTGAAGTCACAAAATAAACGGGCGGTAAATGTACAAAAAAAGTTTTTGAGTACATATATCGGCTTACACGGGATTCCAGCATCAATAAAAAACATACAGTTCTCAGCTTGTTAGAGAAAAACAATGAAAAAAAAAATCTTGTTTGTTAAAAAATGGGGATGCGGCATAAAACAATCAGAAAAATAATAAGAAGGAGACGGGTAGTGATGCGACTTGGCGAGCACCATAAATTCAATAAACTGATATGCAGTACAATGATCAGCACGTGAAAAGAACCCAGCAGAAAACAACACAGAAAAGGTTGTCTGATGAACATTTTTAAAGACTTCAAAAGTGAGTTTAAGATTATCAGTGATAAATTTATACTTAATTCTGATCTAGTTGCAGATACTGATTTTACGAATGAAAGTTTTCAACAAAAATAAAAATATGCTACATCGAAGGAAATGGAGTGAGGGGAGGACTGATTCTGGCAGTCAAACAAGAAAAACCGAACACGGCGGGAGCCAACAATTTTGGCCCGAGAACTCCAGAACAGACAACCATGAAGACAGCAGAAAAGAAGCCAACGGCACAAAACGCGAGAAGCACAGAAGCTTTACAAGCAACAGGAAAAAGAGGAAGAGATCAAGAAGAAGGATAGGAAGAAGCGGCAATGAGTATTCCGAAGTAAGGGACAAGTAGTTTAACTTCAAAAACATATCAGCGAAGCAGAACTAATCTAAATTAGAAAAGCCGAAGGCAAAACAAGTCCAGAGGAAATCATCATTGCTATAAAACCAAGAAATTCCGGTTACGGAATGGTATGAAGTAGCGGACGGACCAAGTACTCAAAAGTAGAGACGAAATCGCGTTTCATGTTGAACATAAGGAGAAAGGGGATTGCAAATACGACCCACTGCCAGGTTTTTTGGACGACTCCAGTCAACACGACGCTAAAGTTAGAAGTACGCGCCCGAGCGAAAACAAAGAACCTCAAAGATTCGGAGGTTGATTCAAGCTCTCAGTGAAAAGTTTACTGAAAAAGGCACTAGAAACGTATCGGAACCAATTGGTAAATTTCTTAGAGGGAACCTAGCGACCAATCGAAACACTAGAAACGTTGCTAGAGCTTCATTTGTTTTGACGGATTTTTGGAAATACTTCGTTAGATCCGTAGATACTACAAAATCCGAGTTGTAAAGTGAATTCGGTTGAAAAAAAGATGGAAGTAGAATCAGAAAAATGGAAACTCAATTTGAACATTTTTAAAACTGAGAGTTAAAAATTCTCCTAGCTAATATAAAATTTAAAATTATTGAAATTAAAATTTTTACTGTTGACTGGAAAATTTGGTAATGCGCAGGCTGTTCCCTTGATGATATTATGCATATGTACATATTTAACTGTAACGTATTTATATTATTGTACCAAAGTACCTTTTTTTTCTAAATTGGATAACTTTATGAATTAAGTGTCAATCATCACAGTATCTGAAATTCAAAACGTGGTTTTCAACGTGATTTGATTGTTCTTCATTTTTTCCGAATTCTTACCGGTGATTTTGTTTTCAAATTTCGAAATTCGAAAAACGTTTAAAATTTTCAATCAATTTACTTGGTTTTTCGGTTTACTTGTTCTTTTACTTTTTGCAAGTGTCTGTTGGTTATACCTTACAAGAGATTCTGCGACACAAAAGTTTCAAAGTTGCTCGACGCTAGCGGAGTGAAACTCAGTTGCAGTAATTTCAGCTTAAAAACATGAAAAATTAGTGGAAATAAAGATTTGATGAACATCCTATTTACTCATTAACAGTCATACCTACTCAGATTATCACAATCATATTTATTTTCCACTCTTCGAGAATGGTCAGAACAATAATTACTTGTTTAAAAAATGGGGCGGAGTTTTCATATGTTCCATCTATGCTTCATTTGGACAGGTCCCAGTAAACAATTTGGTCAAATTTCGGAACATCTTTTGTTCTAGAATTATAGCCGAGAGGAATCATTTTCAGAGCGTGCATGAAACAGTTCTGGAACGTGCCTGGAACGTTCCAAAAACCGACACGACACGTAGATTGTCGGCTTTTTGAGCGCTCGAATCTGATTGGACACGACAATTAGCACGCAGAACATTTTGGAACACTTCTGGAACACTGTTCTCGGAACGTTCCAGAAACGTTTCGTAAGGTCTCAGCCGGGAACGAGAAACAGTTTGTCAATTGTGTTTCACTGGAAAATCTTCAATGTTCTAAGAATGTTCCAAAAACGTTTTAGACATGTTCTCAGTTTGTTACTTGTGTTTCACTGGAAAATCTTCAATGTTCTAAGAATGTTCCAGAAACGTTTCAGACACCTTCTCAGTTTGTTTCAGCTGAAGCAGATGCTGAAAGAGGAAATCAAGTGTTATCCGGCAAAGAAACGTTCACGATGTGCCCTGGAGCTTGTGATGGAGCCCTCAGTCATTGCTCTCTTTCGGTACCCAAGGCAACCACCACTTCCTTCGAATGCTTCGAGAGAACAACATTAGCTGCGATTATAATCAGTGCAAATTAGACTGATGGCATGTCGGCAGACGAAACGAGAAAGATGCTGTCACAGTATTTCCGCAAGAACGCTGTCTGCCAATCTGCGACTACCAATGTGCAGACACCTCGGTGACTTTTAGACTGAACTTTTCATTGTTTCTGTCTTGTTTCGTTTGGTGTTCGTCTTTTTTATAACTTCCGTAGGTTCCAGAACGACTTCAAAACTTTCTCAAAACTTCCTCAGAGAATAGGACGAAACATTTCCAAAACATTCCACCATAATGCTCTGGACCTCAGTAGGTTCCAGAACGACTTCAAAACGTTCTCAGAACGTCCTCAGAGAATAGGACGAAACAAATCCAAAACATTCCACGATAATACTCCGGCATGTTTCTGAAAAGTTCTTAGTTGTTGAAAGAAACGTTTCCAAAACACTCCAAGATAATGCTCCGGCAAGTTTCTGAAACGTTCTTGGTTGTTGTTCCAGAATGTTCCGAAAAGGTTCTCCAATTTTGTTCCAAAAACGTTCTTCTGTAATGTTTGTGAATGTTCTCAGAACATTCCAAGATACATTCCTGGAACATTCTGGAACGTTTCACACAATTTCCATATATGGAAGTAGTCGAAAAGCTAAATGACCGTTCCATTTTGTTCCAATCAGGTTTTGTAAACTGTTCCACAAGTGTTCCAGGAACGTTCCGGAACGTTCCAACTGCCGAGCTTAACCATGTGAACATACGACATAAATAATCGGCGTTCCGAC